ATAGATATAGATATATCTATGTCTAGATATATCTACATAGCTATACATCTATTCATCTGTCTATCTATCAGCCCAATGATAAGAAGCTCTGCTGCAATTCCAAAGCACACAGTTCAAATCCACCAGCTGCTCCACAGGAGAAGGATGGGTAATCTTCTCCCGTGCATTTAAATTGCCTCTGAAAATCCACTGGAGGGTCAACTGTGACTCGGTTCCAACTTGATAGCACACAACAACAGCAGCAGCAGCAGCAATAAAATATATCAATAGCTTCCAACAGATGTAAGAAAAAGTTTGTTATTTTATTACATGTGCACTTTGATGATTCACCATGTTGTGCTCCATCACACTGTTTCCAGAAGGGTTTTGTGCCCCTTTAGCAGTAACTCCTGTTCACCCTGCCTCTGGTAGCCTTTTAAAAATTTTGGTCTCTGTGCTTTTGCCTAGTCTAGGTATTTCATATACCACTAAGTGGAGCAAGGCATTATTTGCCCTTTGGTGCCTGACATTTTACTCAGCATGATGTTTCCAAGGTTCACCCATGTGTAGCCTTGCTCCCAGCTTGCTAGCTGTGACATGAGTGGCATTATTTCATCTCTCAGCCTTGGGTTCCTCCTCTGCAGAGTGGGGTATCAGTAGTTGCTGACTTGTAAGCGTGCCGCAGGAATGAGGAGTGATCCTAGTCCTGCTTTGTGCACTACCCGGGCGTCATGTCCGATAGGATGACTTGGTATCACAGTCATTAGTTACAACAGTAATGGTGGTTGGTTTCAGTACCTCACACTGTTCCGTCCTGTTGACTGCCACTTAACTTTGTGTGTGAACTTTACTTGTCCAGTAATGAGGTTACAAATGGCTCTTTTGGCAAAGCATCATCACTTCGGTGCAGGCGTGGTGGGCTTCATTCATCCTACGACAATGAAAAGACATTACTAAGAATCAGAACCCTGCAGGGCACTGGGCTTATAAAATTTGTGTTGCTAAAAGACCCATGAATCATGGCTACCTTTCCTAGAAGATAGCATCTGGCCCAACCCCTTTACTAGAGATAAGTGATTTGGTCAAGCTTTTTCCTTCTCTGTGATGAAATGGGGAAATGTACATGATATAAAAATGCTCCGAATCCTTGCATGTTCTGGAGATGGTCCTGGGGGTGGGGGGCGGCTTTGGTCATGGAGCAGGGAGTCAGGCCTGTAACCAAATCCACTTTATTCCCGCAGAACGTGGTGAAACTGATGCGGGGCCTTCTCCAGTGCATGATGAGACAGGTAGGCAGAAATGGCACGCGTGCTTGTCCACAGCCCAAAAGGGTGTTTCATGTAATTTTTATTTTATATTGACCTGCATACAAAGTTCAGTGTGCACTGGGCTTCATGTGCATTGTGTTTTACACGTTTCTTCATTTACGTTCTATTTTATATGATCATTCTCATATGCTGTGTTTTATAAAATTACTCACCATTGATCGATGCCTACTCTTACCCCACCTTTTCATGTCATTTTAATCATGACATGTAACGTTCTCAAAGAAATTTGAACTTTTCTTCTCAAGATGAGAAATTGGAAACATCTTGCTTCATTTCTCTTTGTAAGGTGATCTGGAAACATTTTATTGGGCTTTAGGATTACAGAAGGAACCCAAGCAACTTAGTCCACAGGAAGTTGTACCGATAAGCTTAAAGCTACACTTCCCTGGCTGTTTGAATTTGCCAGTTGCTCCTTAGGAGAAGGATGGACAATCTCCTCCTGTGCGATTTACAGCCTCACAAATCCACTGGAGGGTCAACTCTGAGTCAGTTACAACTCGACAGCACTGTGAGAGAGAGATAGGACCACAAGGGACCTGGTGGTCCAGTGGTTAAGCTACTAACAGAAAGGTCAGCTGTTCAAACCCCCAACCACTCCCTGGGAGAAAGATATGACAGTCTCCTTCCACAAAGATTTATAGCCTCAGAAGTCCAGTGAGCAGTTCTGCTCTGTATATGGGGTCACGATCAGAACTGTCTCAATGACAGGAGGTTTGGATTTGGGATAGATAAACTCAAAGGCTACTTACTGTCTCCAAGAATCTCTGTGGAAGAGATTAATAGACAGGCATGCCCTTTTGCAAAAGAGGGAAAACGGGAGATGAGGGTTTCTCAGTAGCACTCCTCGAAAGCCCTGGACACTCTTTCCTTCTACTGACTTTTCAAAACAGGATGTGTTCATTTGAGACAAAAAGGATGCACTTGTAAAACTTGACATTACTGTTTCCCTGGCAGAGACAACAGTTCATTGAGCATGCATCAAAGACAGAACATTATTCAAGAATCTGTCCAAGTTCAAAGATGAAGATGATATAGCCCCCACCCTAAGGCAAAGTCCTAATAGCTCCATTCCTTTGACATAGGAAACAAGAAGTGGAAATGTAAACAATCTGCTTGCTTAGATTGAGCCTGTGCGCTTGCCCGTTCTAGATATTTCATATAATTGGGGAAATAGAACGTTTGCCCTCTTATATCTGACTTTCTTCCCTCAGCGTAATGTATTCAAGGTTCATCCACCCCTGTCCTTCCCTCTTCCTCTCATTGAGTGCCTTATAAGTGACATATGAAGACCAGGAAGCCCTTGTCTATGACCCCCCCCCCATCCCAGTGCTTTCTGCCATGTTTGCCAAAGCATCTTTCCATCTTGGTATCCTGTGAGAGTTTTGTTATTTTCTGAGTAGATGTTCTCATAGAATATTGTCTTTAAAATCAGATTCTCTTCTATATTGAAAGCAAAACCTATACTTGGACCAGGAGGCAGTCGTCAGAACAGAGCAAGGAAACACTGCATGGTTCAAAATCGGGAAGTGTATGCCAGGGTTGTATCCTGTCTCCATACCTTTTCAGTCTTTACACAGAACAGGTTATCTGGGAGGCTGGGCTCTATGAGGAGAAATGTGGCATCATGATTGGAGGAAGACTGATCAACAATCTGAGTTCTGCAGATGACACAACCTTGTTTGCTGAAACTGAAGAGGACCTGAAGCACTTGCTGTGGAAGGTCAGGGACTGTAGTCTTCATTATGGATTGAGACTTAATATCAAAACAACAAAGATTCTCAGCACTGGGCTGATTGGCAGCATCATAATGGATGGTGAAGAGATTGAGATTGTTCACAGTTTTGGGTAGCTTGGATCCACAGTCAACACTCTTGGCACCAGCAGCTAGGAAATTAAAAGACGTATTGCGATGGCAAAGTCTGCTGTTAGGGACCTCTCCAAAGTACTGAAGAGCAATGGTGTCTCTCTGGAGACTAAGGTGCTTCTGATACAGGCCATGGTCTTTGCAATCACTTGTTATGCATCAGAGTTGGACAATGACTAGGGGACATAGAAGGAGAATTGATGCCTTTGAGCTCTGGTGTTGGAGAAGAGTATTGAATATACCATGGACTGCTAGGAAAATGAACAAGTTTGTCCTGGAGAGGGTGAAGCCGGGCTGCTCATTGGAGGCAAGAATTCTGAAGCTTCATCTGACATAATTTGGACATGCTGCAAGGAGGGACCAGTCCTTGAAGAGGGGCCTCATGCTCGGGAGGGTGGAAAGACTGAGCAAGAGAGGAAGACCCTCAATGAGATGGATTGACTCAGTTACTGGGGTAATAAATGGGGGCACGTGTGTTGGAGATGGTGACATTGGCATAGGATAGGGCAGACTTTAGGGCTATTGTACATAGGGTCGCTATGAGTCACAGGCGACTCAATGGTACACAACAACAATTTGTTAAAAGTAACAATTTAAATTTTTTTTCTACTAATTTATTTATAAAATTCGAATACAAATTTGAACAAATTCTTTCAATTTCCTCCCCCCACATCAAATTGTACAATTTAGTTATTAATTACCCCCTCCTCCTGCACATCCACATCCCTCTGCTTCAAGCCTCTCCCACCCCTCTGGGATCATTATATTCATTCTACAATAACGGTTTTATACAATATTTATCCTTATGGGACTGAGTTAGTTCACTTATCATTTTCTTAATAGATAACTGCAATAAAACTGAAGTAGTATGTATGGTTTTTGCAAATTCTTTAACAGCTGATAAAATTTTACATTTGTAAGATTACTATATTGTACTGGTACAGAATAGTTTTAAATTATATTTCTAAAAGCTAAAAGGACAAAAACAATCCCAGGGAGGTGGGACATTTCTGCGGAGTGGCTGGTGGATGGAGGTCAGTAGCAATTTTCAGCTGCCTTTTGTTCTTCTGGCTCCTGGAGGTCACCAGTAAGAGACCTGGTCCATGCATTGGGGGGATAGGGGAGCCAGCCGGAGCTCTACCAGCCACGAACCCTGTTAGCTCTATGAGACACTAACTTGCCTTCTGCCTCAGGTGGAGAAGGTGGAGAAGTTCAAGCACACGCAGAGTACCAAGGACAGCCTGCACGCCAAGTACAACACTGCCACCTGCGGCACTGTGGTGGGCGACGACCAGTGGGGCCATCTCCAGGTGGATGCCACCTCCCTCTTCCTCCTCTTCCTAGCCCAGATGACCGCCTCAGGTGAGCCTAATGTGGTGATGGGGGGCGGCATCTATCAGAGTATAAAATCAGGTGTTCATATACCGCAGAAACCTGCTCCTATGCCCTAGTAAGTGCGTTTGGCTCCCTGACAAGGAAAGGAAGTATGAGAATCCTGTCTGTGATGTACATGCCAAGGACACTCACGGGACATGGGCCACTGAAACAGCTCTGTCAGCTTCTTCCTGCTGGTCTCATTCTTAGCGCAGCTGTCACCGAGTTACTGGAGCGACCTCAGCTCTGTGGCACTTGAACAGTCCAAATGTTTGACAGTAGCTGCACTTGTCCTCAGAGGTTTCTTCTGTGGGAGAGGCAGCCTGTCTCGCTCTCCTGGTCACCCTGCTCTTTTTCCAGCATCCTTTCAAACGACTTTATTGTGGAGCTCAACAGTGTGTCCAAGGCAATCTGGCAAGCCTGCTGTGCCCCAGCTTGAGTCAGCCAGCAACTTGAGAATACGTGTTGTTCGATGGAAGCCACAGCGCTTGGTTTTGATGCTCACCTGCCAGAGTCACTCCCAGCACACAGGGAGACACGGATGCTCCCTTGCTGCTAGGCCTGAGCTCTTTCACTCTGGGTAGTAAGCTGGTACTGTTTACTGTACATTTCCAGTGGGAGGGTCCACGACTACCAGAGATCGTAAATAATGGCATTATGGCCATGTGCAAAAAAACCATATATTTATAAGCAATACCAATACTGAATACAAATAAGCAATACTGAATTTATAAGCAATTCCGTTAAGGAAGTTAATATAAGCCCACAATAGTCCCTACATCACCATTCCTTGGAACTCCATATCTATTCCCATTCCAAAAAAAAGGTGACCCAACTGATTGTGGAAATTATCGAACAGTATCATTAATATCACACACTAGCAAAATCCTTCTGAAAATCATCCAGAAACGACTGCAACAGTACATTGCACTACAAGCTGGATTTAGAATAGATCGTGGCACAGAAGACGTTATTACCAATGTTAGATGGATCTTGGCGGAAAGCAGAGAGTACCAGAGGAATGTATGTCTGTGATTCATTGACTAGGCAAAGGCTTTTGACTGTGTGGATAACAACAAATTGTGGCTAACCTTGAGGAAGATGGGAATCCCAGGAGTACTTAATTGTGCTTAAGTAAAACCTGTACATGGACCAGAAAGCAGTCCTCAGAGCAAGGAGACACTGCATGATTCAAAATCAAGAAAGGAGTGCATCAGGGATGCATCCTGTGTCCATACCTTTTCATTCAGTCACAGAACAGATCATTCAGGAAGCAGGGCTTTATGAGGAGGAATGTGGCATCAGGATTGGAGGAAGATTCATCAACAACCTACATTATGCATATGACACAATCTTGCTTGCTCCAACTGAAGAAGACCTGAAGTGCTTGCTACAGAAGGTCAGGTACTGCAGCCCTCAAAGTGGATTGAAGCTTAGCATCAAGAAGACAAAGATTCTCACCACTGGGCCAATTGGCAGCACCGTGATGGCTGGAGAAGAGATTGAGGTTGTTAACAGTTACAGCTTGCTTGGCCCTACAGTCTACACTCCAGCAGTCAGGAAATCAAAAGATAAATTGCATCAGGGAAAATCTGCTGTCAGGGACCTCTCCAGAGTGTTGAAACGCAATGATGTCAGTCTAGAGCCTAACGTGTACCTAATCCAGGCCGTGGTCTTCACCATTTCTTGCTATACATCAGAGAGCTAGACAATGACTAAGGATGACAGAAGAAGAATAGATGCCCTTGAATTGTGGTACTGGAGAAGAGTTGAACATATGAACCATGAAGAAAACAAATAGGTCTGTCTTGGAGAGGGTAAAACCAAGTTCCTCCTTGGATGTGAGGAATTTGAAGGTTCATCTCACATACTTAGGGCACACGGCCAGGAAAGACTGGTCCTTGGAGAAGGACATCATGCTTGGAAGAATGGAGAGGCAGCATAGGAAAGGAAGACCCCAGATGAGATGGACTGATAAAGTGACTGGGGCAGTAGGGGTAATGGGCTCCAGTATGTCAGAGGTGGCGAGGATGGCACGGGATAGGACAGGGTTCAGATAGGGTTGTTCATAAAGTTGCTGTGAGTCATATTTCACTCAATAGCACATAACAACAACAACAACATTGTTCCAAATCTGTGGCATTGAGAGAGAGAGCAATTTTGGAAAGTATAACAACCAAAAATCCTACTGCTGAGTTCTTATTTGGATGTTTCTTCCAAGTATTTTTTCTATACTTTTTTTAATAGTTAAGGTTATTTTGTTTACATAAATACAGTCTTTTTATGACATAGCAGTATAACTTAAGCTTTTCTTTTTTGACCTTACAAACTCTTCAGAAACATTATTTTGATGGCTGTATCAATGAATATTCTGTAACTCTTCCATTAATGTTGATTTCTTTTTATTTTGTTTTTAATATTACTACTTATGTTCCAACAGCAATATTGATTACATCTGTTTACTTCTTTCCTGATACATGTACTTAAAAGACCATTCAAAGATATCACTAAATTATTGTCTGAACATTTTTGTGGTTAAACTCCCCTGAGCATTGTAAGAGTGTGTGTGTGTCCGGGCAGAGTCTGACTTCAGTAATACGTAGATTTGCCATAACCACTGTACTTTCAAGGACCTAAGCACAAAGCTGGTTCTCTTGGTTGCTGTAGGCATCATTGACTTAATGTAGCACCTTTCAGGTTCTGAAAACTGAACTCTTGTGTCTTCTGGGGCTACAGGTTGTCATCACCTCCCCGTCATCGGATGGAGCACTCACTCTTTGGCTCAGTCAAGGCTAGCAACAGCAGCTGGCTCTTTAAGTTACAATCCTTCCTTAAGTTGGAACCTTCTGTGGGCAAATCCAGCGGGCCCCACACTTTCTTTGTCCATCTTGTCTACTCATAAGTCCAAATCATAAAATATAGCTGTTCTCATCTCCTCTTTTATTCCTCCATCCTCCCTTCCTTCATGTCTCTTTTTTCCTTCTGAGGTTGAGTTCAGACTCAGTTGAAATCTGAAAATCAATTCAGACATGATTTTTGATGCCTAAATAGGAAAAGTGAAAATAAGGAGAAAAGGTTTTCTCTTCGAGTATTTCTAATTGGCAGCTCTCTTTGCAGTATAACCACATCATCTCACTGTTTGTGTTTCTTTACCAGGCTTACGTATTATTTTTACCCTTGATGAGGTGGCCTTCATACAGAACCTTGTTTTTTACATAGAAGCTGCATATAAAGTTGCTGTAAGTATCATCCCTGGTAGTCTCTTCAGGGGTCCCAGTTGTGCAAAAGAATGACAGTTGCATGGTACTTTGAGGGCTGAACTCTTCCGGACTGCCCAGCAGTTAGAAAGATGAGCACTCTGAGATCATGTCACCCGAACACACCACATACACGGTGTTTGTCTGGAATATATTTGAGAACTTTTCTGCTATCCTTCAGCACAGTAGATGCTCTGAGGACGGTGGGTGCAGGATTGGACAGCATTTCACTCTGTTGTACATAGGGTCATTATGAATCGGAGCTACCTTGAGGATACCTAAGAACAACAAAGTTTTTTGAATGTGTCAGTACTCTCTCTGAATATTGCTATATTAGTAGCATCTGAAGTCATTGAACTTTAGAATGAGAGAGCATCACCTTCTTGTAAGGTGGTGGTCACCCATTCTGCCACTCTCCAGCCCTTTTTACCAATTCTGACACCATCCGTCCTCCTACAGCACTCCCTGCATTCACCTTTTTTTTTTCTTTGTTGTGTGCCATCGAGTTGGATCTGACTGGCACAGGGGGAGACTGCCCATCCTTCTCCAGCAAAGCATCTGGTGGATTCAAACCATGTGCCTTCGGGATTGCAGTGCAGCTTCTTGACACTAGGCCACCAGAGCTCCCTTGCATTCAACTTTTAGTTGCAGTGGCCACATAGAACTTACAGGCCATACTTAAAATTATTAGGTTGTTTATTTAGGAAGTAAGTAATAAGGCATAACTCAGGATCAGGAGACTTATCCTTCTTTAATGCCTGATAGCTTTCTCAGCTTCAGAAGCAAGGAGGCCCTTTTCTCTACTGTTCACACCCTCTCAGTTGTATAGGCCTCTTGTCAACCCCCTTGGGACAGACTTCTATGCTTCTGCCTCCCTTCAACAAGCCTCTGCGCTGCTAACTGGCGCCACACATGGTGGCCAGTAGAGCAGTTTTGTTCAGCTCTCTTAGCTTGCGTTCCTGGCAACAGGTTTCTGCTGTCACCACTAACTCTGCAGTGTGTCTGCCAGCATGTCTCCACCAGCTCTGCTGTAGGGCCCCTTCGTTGCTTCTCCCCACCTTCAGTGTTGAAGCCCTTGACCTGTGCTCTCGCTCAGGAAGTTCCTCACCTCCCTTCTCTCTCGCTCTCATTCTTTTCCTTCCTGTTTATCTTGCCAGTTTTCTTTTCTGCACTTTTTTTTCTGTCTGCCAGCCTCTAAGGGATTGGCTGCCTGTATAAGCAAACTCTGGGTCACTTTCAAAGCAGTACCCTTATACCAGGGCTGTGGACTGACAAGTCCCCTTTCAATAGGCCTCAGTAACTTCATTTGCATGGTAGGTTGTAGTAACTTCATTTGCATAAATATATTCACCAGTCCCTGGAAGATGCGTAGGATAGACGGATCACAGGGCAGGCTATAACCTTGGGCCAGATGAGAAAGTATCAAGCCATCAAGTTGTTTACAGCTTTCCCAGTAAATAGGCTTGGACTAAATTAGCAAGCCCTCTGGGTTAGAGAGTGAGCCCTGGGGGTGCAGCCCATCCGCAGGGAATTGTATTGCTAACTCAAAGGTTCAAATCCACTAGTGGCTCCACAAGAGAAAGATGGATAGTTTCCTCCTGTGCAGTTTGCAGCCTCCGAAAACCTATGAGAGGGTCAGCTTTGAGTTGACTGAGACTCAATGGCATTGAGTTCAGGGCTTTGATTTTCAAGGATTGAAAACAAGACCAAATGGTGTCCAGTCAATTTTGACCCAGAGTGACCATATACCACCAGAGGGTTCCCACGACTGTAATCTTTACTGAAAGGAGATTGTCACATTGTGCCTGTGTGGTGGCTGGTAGGTTCAAACTGCTGACCTTTCAATTAACAGTCAGATACTTTAACCATTGTACTACATGGTAACTCCTCAGGGCTTACGAAAAATTGTTCAAAATGTTTTCCCAAAGAAAAAGGCAAAAAACTAGCTAATGAGACTCATTTGCCCACAGAATCTATTATTGTTATAAGCCATTGAGTCGGAACTGACCATAGCTGCCCATCTGGTGGGTTTTCAGAGGCAGTTAATTGCACGGGAAGAGATTGCCCACCCTTATCCCACCAAGCAGCTGGAGGATTTGAACTGTGTGCCTCGAGGATTGCAACGCAGTTTTATAAAGTGTATAAATATTTTTATAACGTTTTATAAAGTGTAGGGCTACGGAGGTCACCCCAGCCAGCACATGAGGTGTTACTAGGCCAATCACACATACCCAGCCACCAGCAGAGCCCAGCCCTGTGACCAGGTCGATACAGGTGCACATATGTGTAAAACCCATCTCCTGGGCTTCCAGTCTGGATTGGATGGTGAAGCCAGTCACCTAGAGAGCAACTAGACTCTGCAAAGCTACCTATAAGGGCAGCAAGAGTAGAGGTTGCCTTAAACAAAGAAGAGCTACTGTTGTCCAAAGCCACGGTTTCTCTAAAAAGCCATGGCTTAAACGTTTTCCAATATGTGGGTCGCATAATACCTGTTGCAGCTCTCTGACTGCTTTTGTAGCACAGAAGCAGCCAAAGACAAGCCCAGACACAAATGGCTGAGGCTGTGCTCCTATGATACTTTCCTTCCCAAAAGGTTGCAAACTACCCTTGCTCTGATGGTTGTAGTTTTGTGACTCTTGGTCTGAAGCAGTGCTTTTCAGTGGGGCACAACGTCTGCCCCTCAGAGGACCAGGTCATTATGAATCAAAGTTGTCTTGACAGCAGAGGGTTTGATATGGTTTGTTGTCACCACTGCACACGAGGGCACCAGTGGCATCTAGTGGGTGAGGCCAGGAAAGGACACCTCCCAAGCCATGAGGTGGTGGTGGTTCTGTAATGTCGAGTTGCCTACGACTCATAGGGACACTGTGTACAACGACCCTAAACCCTGCTCTATCCTGTGCCAATCTGTCTCTGACACACCCATCCCCATTACCCCAGTGACTCCATCAGTCCATCTCATCGAGAGTCTTCCTCCCTGCACTGTCCCTCCGCCCTCCCAAGCACAACGTCTCTCTCCAAGGACTGATCGTGCCTTGAAACATGTCCAAAGTATGTCAGATGAAGCTTCAGAATCCTTGCCTCCAAGGAGCAGGCAGATTTCACCCTCTCTAGGACAAACCTCTTTGTTCTTCTGGCAGTCCACGGTATATTCAGTACTCTTCTCCAACACCACACCTCAAAGGCATCAATTCTCCTTTTATCATCCCTAGTCATTGTTCAGCCCTCTGATGCATAGCAAGTGATTGCAAAGACCATGGCCTGTATCAGGCGCACCTTAGTCTCAGACTGACATCGTTGCTCTTCAGTACCCTGGAGTGGTCTCAGACAGCAGACTTTCCCAGTGCAATTCGTCTTTTCATTTCCTGGCTGCTGGTGCCAAGAGTGTTGATTGTGGAGTCAAGCAAATTAAATCTGTGAACAATCTTAATCACTTCATCTCTCATGATGCTGCCAATAGACCCAGTGGTGAGAATTGAGCCCAGAATTGTCAAACCTTGGTCAACAGAAACTTGAAACATCTTTGTGGAATGATGGACTTTGGCTAGACCTTGGAGGATGAGTAGTGTTTAGTTAAATGGAAACTAACAGGCATCATCCCAGCCATAGCAGTATCTTGGGATGTGTTGGGGGTGCTTGGGGGGAAGGCATGCCAAGGTCAAAAAATGGACCTAGAGTGAAAGTGGCGCACTGGTAGAAAAAAGTTGGCTGTGGGTGTGCAAAAGGGGCATGAGGTGGAGGCAGTTTGTGTTTTAGACTCTTAGGCAGGGGAGTGAGCTACTAAAAGCAGCTTTTGAAGATGAATCACTTGACTCTGGGGTTCTGGTGAAGATGGAGTGGGCTGAGAAAAGGCCCATGTATAAGTCAACTGGACCTTTTTGTAGTATTGAACGAAGGGATCCTGGGTGTGTGAGTGAGAGAGAGTGAGTGAGTGTGTGTGAGAGTGAGTGTATGTGGGGGGCTCCATTCCTGGTCACTTGTAAACTTTCTGTAGTGTGTACCCATCATGGCATTACTTTAAAGCAATAGCAATTGCTTCTGTTCCTTTAAATGAAACACTGTGTTTAATAAGTTAAGAGCCTGTGTATAAAGCACTCGATGTGTACAAGGTCCTGAGCCAATTCCTATTAATCGGTTTTCAAATACCAACTTTGGCTCCAGTTCCATAGTGAGCAATTTTTCCTCCCAAGATGCAATGCTAAAAATAGATACTAAATTATTTTAAAATGGTTTTCTTGGCTTCAACACGTTATTACCCCCTTGTTACGGTTTCTTTATTCCATCTTACCATTTAATATAAGTTCAAAGGGATTAGTTAAATAGAAAGGCAGCGTTTTATTTGCTCATAAGAGAAAGAAAATATTGTTTCCTACCAATTGAGGGGTTCTTGCAAATGCATAACTTTGTGGAGTAGGGCATTGGAGCATGGTTTTGCATGTATTTTTGTTCCCCTTGAGTGTTTACTGGCATAGCTCAGCCCAGAGGGCACATGGACTGAAACGGAGGAAGAACATAGCATGAGTAAGGCAAGCCATGGATGTGGGACCTTTCAAGAGGAAAGTGTCGTGTTTCACAGGCCTCTTGGTAACATTACAGACTCATTTTCCCCTAGTGCTCTTCACATGCCTGTTTCTCCCGGTCTGATTACTGCCTTCTTTTCCCCCAGGATTATGGCATGTGGGAACGTGGCGATAAGACGAACCAAGGCATACCAGAATTGAACGCAAGCTCTGTTGGAATGGCCAAGGTGACCACATCCTATTCGTTTCATGCCTCTTCGCCTTTGATTCGACTCTCTTCAGTAGGAATCTAGATTCAATCTGATTAGCATGTTTTTTTTCCATAGCCAGCAGCAAGTAGGTGCAAATTCACGTGGTGTATGCTGCAATGGAGAAAGTAATTAAAGAATGTAGATTTCCAAAGTTGTAGTCTGTACATGGCAGAAAATCAGTGCCCTCCAGCCTTGCTGTCGGTGCCATTGCTACCATGCATGGGCCGTTGTTTCAGCACCTTCAGCTGTCTGATGTTCAGGCTTCCTTTCTGGGTCATAAATTGGCTGGAGACACTAACTGCTTTGTATCCTGGGGCAGGCGAGTGACGTAGATGTGTGAGCCTGGCCAGATAGAGCAGTGTGAGCGAGTGCTGAGGACCATGGTGCTTCCTCCATCTGGAGGAGCCAGGTCTGCCAGTTCCAAACCATGTAGGCCGGCCTCTCAGCCCCGGTGAAACACACCTGAGGGGCAGATGCAGCGGGCAGGCCCTGTTTGCATCTCTTGCTGTAGACGTTTAGCTAGCCTGCTTTCTTCCTCCTCCTCAGGATTGCTGTGTATTTTAGGATGCGAGAACGACCCCAGAGCTAGAGTTCAAAAATTGAAACAAATATGTAAATATACATGCTCCTTTAAGGTACACAGACATACTTACTACCGCAAGAATGAACTTTTTGAAGCACAGATATGCCAATGCTCCTTAGCGGCTAAATGAAAGCAAAGTTGACCATGACTTCAGTGCCACACTCAGAAAACGCTGTGAACATGTCAGCATTTATTTCTTTGGTCAGATGTTCATTTTATTTTGGAAACTTTTCCCATTTCTCGTTGCAATGAACAGCAACACAGGCTACTCCTATCCACTGAAAATACAATAGAATGTGAGGATGGGAGTATTTATTAGCTATATTTTAAAGAAATATTTCGTATTTGGGAAAATATGTCTGCCTGATTATTTTTTAAAAAAGAAATACAGATAGAGGGGTCCACATTTCCAAGAAAGAACAAGTAACTCCTGCGTGTGATTGTAGGCAGCACTTGAGGCCATTGATGAACTGGACCTTTTTGGAGCTCATGGAGGACGCAAGTCAGTGATCCACGTCCTGCCGGATGAGGTCCAGCACTGCCAGGTAACAGCTTCACTTGTTGTGTTCCAGAGAATATCCATTGACAGCGAGTTGATTCCTACTCTTCATGATCCTGTTGTTGTTGTATACCATCAAGTCAGAACCAACCCATAGCTGAGCCTCTGGTGGGTTTTCAGAGGCAGTAAATGGCACGGGAGGAGATTGCCCAGCCTTTTCTACGTGTCTCTAAGATTGCAGCGCAGCTTCTTTCCACTAGGCCACCAGAGCTCCCTAATGATCCCATGCTGATGATGGTGGTGGTGTGTGCTGTAGAGTCAGAACTGACCCTTAGCTGACCTCCAGTGGGTTTTCAGAGGCAGTTCATCACACAAGAGAGAACCCATCCTTCTCTTGCAGAGCAGCTGGTAGATTCGAACTACATGCCTTTAAGTTTGCAGCACAGCTTCTTACCACTGGGCCTCCAGCTCTCAGTGATCCCATAGGGCAGTTTATGGAGCACATTCCCACGTGTCTCTCCCATAGGGCAGCTGGTGGGTTTAAACCACCAGTCTTTTCACTGTACCACCAAGGCTCCTTGTTCCAGAAAATAGGCATGTGGAACCATCAAGTGGCTCTTTTCGATTCTCCATCTTTCTAGCCCGATTACACTTGGCTTCTTTGAACTTCAGTTTCCTCATCTGTAAAGTGGACATGCTAGGACCTTCCCCAGGGAGCTAAAAGCATTCACCTGTTAACTGGAAGGTTGGTGGGTTGCTGTTTCTCCCATCCATCTCTTCTCAGTCTACTCACTCCCCAAGTGAACCTGCTGGTAACCTCTGGTTAGTAACATAAAACTCTGTCTCATCGCACGTGGAGTGCTATAGTGACCCTGCATGACAGAGCTGCCCCGAAGAGTTGCTGAGGCTGGTGAGCTTCATGGAAGCGGAAAGCCTCCTTGATCTTCCATTCTCTGTGGGAGAGAGAACAGGGAGGCAGCCAGTTTACACAGAGGTTCACAGCTGCGGAAACTGTCAGACCTCCAGGGTCACTGCAAGCGGTATTGACTTGATGGCAATGGGTTTGATTTGAGTTTAGGTCTTACCCCTCCTAATCCAATTTAGGTCCTGTTTCAGAGCCGCCAGAAAGCACTATGCCAACGTAAGTTACGTGGTGATGTCCTGTGAGTGGAATCAGATGGCAAGGCAGCCTTGTTTTGCTGGAGGCAAACTCGGTTTCATGTTTATAGGACACAAGTGGTTTTCCCGCCGGTTATTTTCACAGTGCCCCAGATGGAATGATTGGCAAGCACTAGTTCACTCTGGGGGGATGGTTGGAGGATGGAGACATGGGTGGGAGAAATGGCAAACTAATAGAACCTCTGGGCAACACATATCAGAGTGAAGGGACTTGGTCCAGAATGATGATGATGGTGATATTGTGTGCCGTCGAGTAGGAACGACCCGTAGCTGACCCTCCAGCGGGTTTTCAGAGGCAGGAAATCACATGAGAGGAGACTGCCTATCCTTCTCCCACAGAGCAGCTGGTGGATTCGAACCGTGTGACGTTGGGATTGCAGTGCAGCTTCCTGCCCCAGATGAGGGCACTCTATTAAGCAGTCATGAATTGAGCTGTTGACTGTGTCAAGTACTATGCTTGACTCAAAGGAAGTAAGACACATACAGACCTTGAAATAGAGAACTTCCAGGGGGTAGGATATCTGACCTCAGGCGGAGAAGGCCAGGGGAAGAGTGACTGTCTGAAGAACTGGGCCCGGGGTCCGTTGACTATGACAGAGCAGCTCACAACCCAGGCCATTGCTCGCCATTGTTGTTATTGTGTGCCATCAAGTCAGAACTGAGTCATAGCTGACTCTCCAGCGGGTGTTTAGAGACTGTAAATCACATGTGAAGAGATTGCCCATCCTTCTCCCACTGAGTAGCTGGTGAACTCGAACCATGTGTCTTTGGGTTGGTGGCACACCCCCTTACCACTAAACCTTACCAGGGCCCTCTTCTCCACCTTAAGTCGCCCTTAATGGGGACTGTGGTATTTCTGGGGATGTAGTTTAATAGACTAGTATGTGCCTTGATGAAATGGATGACACGGTGACTGCGGCATCGGGGCGGGTGTATCAGACAGCGAGGTTGGCTCAGGATGGGGCAGGGTTCAGAGCTCTTGTTCATAGGGATGCTCTGAGCCATCGTCGACTCTGGTACATAACAACAATAGCAGTGGAAGTTAGGTGAGCTTTAGCCAGTGGACTAGCCTTAGGATCCTAGCTAGTGCCTGTGCCTGGTTCTACAGACCTCCTTCCTTCCTCATATAGAAATGTTACTGCACATCTGTTTGTAGGGGGCTAACCTCCTGTTTGTCCATGTTAGCTCTCAGTCAGCTCCTGTCCCTTCCTAAACCCTGAAAGCTTGAAATCCCTTCAGTTGAAAATTAGACGTCCTAGTGGTTCAGTGGATTAAGCATGGGGTCTGCTGATGAGAAGGTCAACAGTTCTAATCCATGCAAGCAAGAAGAGGTAATCAACATCCAAAAAGATTTGCAACCTCTGAAATCCCTGAGGGCAGTTCTGCTCTGTCCCGTGGGGTCCCTGTGAATTGGAATCGGATTTGATGCCTTCTTGTTGTTGTTGTTGTTGTTAGGTGCCATCACATCAAGTAGGACTCGTAGCGGTCCTACGAACAACAGATCTGAGCCATGGCCTGTCCTGTGCCATCCTCAAAATCTCTGACACACTCGAGCCCACAGGGTTTGTGTTCTCATTTAAGATTGCCTTTTCAAAATGCTCTGTCACTGAGGCCACATGCTAGTGCTGCAAAGTAGCCATTCTTCCTAGGACTTATCTCTGTTGTTGTTTCCCCTCAGCATCCATGGGGGCTACTGGGTTTGACTCCTTCCTGTAAGTGTTCAGCAGAAGCCGACATTTCTCTGTGCTGACCTGTGCGTGTGGTGGTCCTTGTCCATTCTGTTTTCATAGCCAGGAAACACCCTAAGTGCTGACGCCTCCCCTGAGTTCCCTAAAGGCTCACCATGCCAACAGGGGACCTGACAGCGAGGGAGACAGCAGCTCTGAGCAGAGGTTGCAGTCAGTGCGGGCCGTGGCCTGACCCCTGCTTCTCCCCAAGGAGCGGGAAGCAAGCAGGCTCAGCCCAGCAAGGGCCCAGGACCGGAACACTCATCTCAGCCTTCTCCATCTCTGGGGCCTGTAGTGTGCCACCCACTTTCTTCCTGACTCAAGCCCTTTCTTGCTTTTTTTCAGTCCATCCTGTTCTCCATGCTACCAAGAGCGTCGACGTCTAAAGAAATCGACTCCGGGCTGCTTTCCATTATTTCTTTCCCAGCCTTTGCAGTGGAAGACATGAACCTTGTGAACGTGACCAAAAATGAAATTATTTCCAAGCTCCAGGTGAGTCCTTCCTGTGTGTGTTCAGTGCTGCTAGCGCATGGCCTCAGCCACCCAGGACGCCAGCAGCCTTCTCTCTCGAGGTGGCCTCGGGGAGTGTTGTGGGCAGAACGGAGTCTGCAGCCATCTGAATGCTGAAGCGACTTGATTCTTTTCTAACCGGCTGAGCTTGAATTCCAACCAGCACTGTTGACCCTCAGCCTCTGCCACCACTTTACTGCTAAGGCTAAACCTCTTAACCCTCAGAGATCCAAGACAGACCCCTTTGAGAAGCTCTTGGAAGCTAGAGAGTCACTGAAAGAAAGTGTGCACATGTCCCAGTGGCCTTGAACTTGACATTTAATTTAAGGGGATTTGGCAGTCCTCAAGTTCCATGTTAAAGAACTTCTCTGAGGTGAAATGCGGTAACTGTGACACCTGATCCTAAACATTGTTAAATATTCCAGCCAACTGAAATGATAGGTAAAATTATCAAGGAATGTAGATTTCCTCAGCTGAAGTCTCCACCAGAGTTCAGTTCAGTGAAAGATGCTTTTATCCCTGAGAGGAAGGGGACACAGGGCTGCTCGGTTATATTGCAGGAAGAGGGAGGGCAGTGTCAGTCAGGGTCCAGGAAAGAAAAGGAAGCCTCGTTAGGTAGTTGAAGCACACAGGGAAGGAATCCTTTACCAGAGACTCTGGGATCCTTCCCACTGGAGGCGCTGTTGCCTCACAGCCAGCCCAGCCAGCCCCATAGCTGTGTCTGCTGCTGCAGCAGCAACATAAAAACACTTATAAAACTGGAGCATGACCTCCCAAAGCTGCGGTTCAGAGATGAGGGAATCAGATAAAAAATTACTGCTGCCAATGTTCTTTCTTAACACCTAGTAAACTGAAGTGAGGCACATGGGCCCTGTACCCGTAAAATGGCACTGTGGTCATAAACCTCAGGAAGACTCTGCCTCCCTGCCCAGTCTCCTAGGGGGACGGCTGACTGGCAGAGCCACCATTACCTCCAGGGCCTGACTGGAAGGGATGCGGTGGGAGGGGGTCGCTTCTAGCTTTCCCGTCTCTCAGAGGGATGGCAGCAGGTTCTGCTATGTGCCGTGGTGGTTCCTGTGAGCAGCACGTGGAAGGGAATTCCACAGCACACCATTGCGCATTAGGGCTGCAGGAGACGAGGCAGAGGCCAGGGCTCCAGCGGCGTGTTGGAGAATCCCCTCCACATGCTGCTCAAAGTTGGATTGGCTTTGCTTACGCCTTTAAAATAGCATTGTACTGTTAGCTAAAAAAGCCTTTGGTATGCATTTCATTTCTAAAAGATTCAAGGGGAAGAGCTGCTTGGCATCGGAAGAAAGGAAAAAAAAAAAGCATCCAATGTAATGTATTTTCTTTCTCTCTTTTATCAGGGCCGTTACGGATGTTGCCGCTTCCTTCGAGATGGCTATAAAACTCCGAGAGAGGTTGTATTTAAAGATGACTTCCTGTGACCCATTAGCTGCTTCATGTTTGTCACTTTTGTGTGGTTGGGTTTTGGTTTTTTTGTCCTTCTGTTTATTTTAATTATATGTTAGACTATTGGAAAGGGAAGTCTTCATATTCGAGGCACGCAGTCGGGCAGTCAGGACGACATCAAGCCAATAGTTGTGAACCTTTTTTACAGACAACAAACAGTTCTGTGGTTCCCCCATTTTTTTTAAGCCTAACCATGATATCCTCCTCGGGTTTCTTTGCCCTCACGGCAAATATACTGATATAAATAAAACAGACAATCTACCAAGCACTCTGAGTTGGAACTGACTCACAGCTGACCCTCCAGCGAGGTTTCTGAGGCTGTGAATCACATGGGAAAAGACTGCCTGGTTTTCTCGTGTTGAACTGCTGGTGGATTCAAACCACATGCATCTGGATTGGCAGTGTAACTCTACCCACTAGGCCACCAGAGGTATGTTGTTGTTGTTGTTGAATAGAGACGTATAGGCTCCCTAAAGTACCAAGAAGTTTTGGCTATGTCCCAGATTTACTTTGCTGAAATGTTATCATGGAAACCTTAAAAAAAAATGATGTCCTCCTCATCCTAAAAGGAAAAGATGGTGAAACTTCATTTCACATACTTTGGGGATGTTGTCAGGAAGGGCCAGTCCTTGGAACAGAACATCATGCTGGGAAGGGTGGAGGTCAGAGAAAGAGAGGAAGACTCGCGTCAATATGGATCGACACAGTGACTGTTAACAGTACACATGGTAAAGATAGCTCATGATAGGCCAGGATTCAGATCCATTCAGAGGGTGGCTATGAGTTGTAGTCGACTTGATGGCACCTAACGTTACACTAGACGACCTCCTAACACAACGACCTCAAGACTTCCTTGAGAAGGTCAGCAAGTGAAGCTCAGTGATGTTCGGTGAGATGTGCACCTGACAAGACTTTTTACAATGTGTGCGTTCACTTTGATTCCAGGACCCAAACCGATTGCATTATGATCCTGCAGAACTCAAGCTCTTTGAAAACATCGAATGCGAGTGGCCTGTCTTCTGGACATACTTCATAATTGATGGAGTCTTCAGTGGAGATGCTGTTCAGGTGAGGAAGTGCTGGGTGCTGTGTTGAAAAGAAGCATTTTCATTCCACTGGTGTGCTAATTACTATTTGCATGTAAGATTATGCAGAAAATGCAAGCCATCGATTGAGTGATCTGTCTGTATCTAGCAAACTGTCCCCAAACTTAGCAGGTTAGTGCAACACCTATGTTATTTGCTCATGATTCTGGAATGTGGGCGCAGCAGAGAGATTGTCTTGTCTCCACTGTTTTCGACTGAGGTGGCCCCAGTGGGGCTGGAGGAGACACTGCCATGGTGTCCTCCCTTCCGAGGCTGACGAGCTGGTGCTGGCTGGCAGAACTGCGGCCTCGGTTCTCTGGCCTGCGGTCTCTGGCTCCTCACAGCGTGGGAGTCTCCAGCAGCGAACTTCTGTGGTAATTCTCTTCCCCTGTAACACAGAAGTAGAAGCTGCCCAGCTTTCTTAAGAGTTAGAGCCAGAAGTGGCACAGTGTCATTTCTGTCACATGCTGTTTAGAGCGGGCCACGGGGCCGTATCTTATTCAGGGAGAGCAGACTATGCCAGGCCATTGGTACTAGGAGACGTGATTCTTTAAGGGCCACTAGAGAGCAGCTCAGTGCTGCTGCTGGCATCTGATGTAACGGCCTCCTAACTGGTCTCCCAGCCTCCAGTTTGCTTGCCCCTGGCGTCATTCTGCATGCCTCTGCTAGAATAGTCATATTAAAAGGCAAATTACAGGGACCTCTGGTGGCCTGGTGGCAAGAAGCTGCACTGCAATCCCAAAGGTATGCATTTCGAATCCACCAGATGCTATGCTGGAGAAGGAGGGACAATCTCCCAATCTCCTCCTGTACCAGTCCAATTTGATGGTACACACACACACACACACACACACAATATTTTTTAAAAAGGCAAATTACATTGCCGCCTTCCTTAAAAGTTTTGAATGACTTCCTAATTGCTTTCTGGCTAATGTACAGACTTGCTGCATTACCTGGGAGCCAGTAAGATCTGGCCTTTGTTTTCACCACATGAGGCTGCTTTCTCACCACTTTGAGTTTTGTGATGCAAGCACACACTAACCCTTCAGTCTCTTGAGCACATCAGGCTCTCTCTCTTTTCTTCTTGAATGTCTAACACTCTTTCCATCGCCAGCCTTCACTTCTCTTCCTCACTTGGTTTACTGTGTTTCTTGCACTCTTGGGTCTGAAGATAGGTATGTACGCATTCCCCGCCCTGTGTCCCTGTTCTCATCTGCTGTCCAGAGGGCTGTTTTTCATGTTGCAGTACCTATTAACAGTAAGACTGCCTTCATCCCATGCCGTCTGGGGCTCTTCTAGGTCCAAGAGTACCAAGAGGCCCTGGAGGGCATACTGATCGGAGGCAAGAACGGAATCCACCTTATGCCGGAGCTGTACGCCATCCCCCCTAGCAAGGTAACGCGGGGCCGGGGCCCCTTTGTGCTGCTCTCCAGGATGAAGGGAGTTGGGGACTGGCCATTTGGTCGTTTCACGGCACTTGTAGGCCCTCTGGTGGTGGTGTACCTGACATGTAGGACTGTTCACCAGAAGGTCGGCAGTTGGAATCCATCAGCTGCTCAGGAGGAGCCCGGGCACTCTGGCCTTGTAAGGACTTACAGCCTGAGAAGCCCAGCTGAGGCTCGCTGTGAGTCAGTTGGCTGGCACAGCAGGGGATTTTAGGCCTAACAGGCACATTGTCTCCTTGAGCGTCTTGTAGAGCGGTAGGTAGTTCAATCCAGTGAGGTTATGTCGGGCTTTGCAAGCACACTGATGCATGCTGAGCCGTGGGGTGCCAGCTGAGGCCCCGCAGAGGCAGAACAAACCCTAAAAGAATAAAACACTGGCATGCGCCCTGTTTTTCAACTTCTCCAAAGGATAATCAGCCAGAGAGCTGAGAAGTCTCTTCCTGTGCCTCAGCCAGCTCCCAAGCTAAGGACTGAAGGATTGAGAAGGTCGATGGTGTTCTACATCAGGGATAGCAACTGTCCAGCTCCAAGAAGCTGCCCATAGGTCATCTCTGTACTAGCTAGCTTCCTAATTTGTGTTCACAGGGTACACAGTTTCTCTAAATGTCTAGTATTTCTAAGAAGGAAATGCTTCTGAAGTGCCCATTGCTTGGAAGCTGTACTGTTGAGCTTGTGGGAGGAAAAGGCCCATCAGAGAGCTGTATTTTCCCCCAAAAAGTCTACAGGGATTTGTAACCAGCGAAAGCCGGGCATGCACCAACGAGGTTGGGTGTTCTATGGGTGGTTTGGGCCCACCTAACAAGAGAACTTGCAGGGACCTTTCAGAGCCTCAGCTCAGCCTGGTCCCCAGGTCCAGGGCCTCCTCCAGACCGCAGGCTGCACACACATGGGACCTTTCCAGATGACAGAGGATATCTGTACCACTGAGCTTCTGAAAAGGTGCCCTGGGGGAAAATAAGAAAGAGTCAGATACTTGATTGTTCAGGCAAAAAGTCCCACTTGTCTAGTTCTGGCTTTATCCAATCTCAAAGGAGCAAGGAGTGGGAGCGGTTGTCCATTAGATAACAGAACCAATTAAAGCAATGGGGAAATCAAGGAAAGGAGGTAAGTTTCCGTAAGAAGTGGAACATCCTGTTGCTGGAAGCACTGAGGACCCTGGCTAAGGATGCATCCTTTAAGGATCCGGAGCTCAAGAGTCCAGCGGCCACTGAAGTTGGGTTAGTGGCTAAGTGTCACTAGCTTAGCTGCTTCTACGGGAGCAGCCTGTGACAGTGTTATTCTGTAAAAATTGACAGCCTTGGAAATTCTATCAGGCACTTCTGCTCTGTTCTGGGGTCACTGTGACTCAAAGCCAACGTGATGGCAGTAGTTTTTGTGTGTTTTTTATTTAGGAGCCTTTAGTTCTTTGGGGGATGCTCTGGTGGCCTCGTCCATAGCAGGTTGGGCTGCTAACCCAAAGGCTTCCCCTCTCTAACAGTTTGAATCCACCAGTAGCTCTGAGGGGAAAAGATAGGCAATCAATCTCCTCCCTTGTGATTGACGGCCTCGGAGACCCAGTGGAGGGTCAGCTAGAAGTTGATTTCAGTTCAACAGCAGTGAGTTTCATAGCGTTCTTTTGCGTTTACAGTAGCACAGCCTGCTGGTTCGTTGCTGGGCTGCCCCTCAGGGCTGCTGTACCGTCCAGTGGTCTCTCAACCCGAGCAGTCTGGCCTCTTAGCCAGGACTCGGAAAGCTTTCCAGCTGCCTCATCTCAGTGGGAACAGGTGCCCTCCTGCCGTGTTTGTTCCAGAGTCAAGGACAAAGACAGTGGCCTTCTCCACTGCGCAGTGCAGGCCCTTTCCTCAAAGGGCCTTAAACCTAGATTTCTGGCACGTGTTCACTATGCCATTTGATGTGTGTGTGGACGGGAGAGGCTGGCTGGGAGGGTTGGGAGTACTTTCCTGGCAACTAAATGTCATATCCTCTACTCCTTTTCTAGAACTGAGGCATTTAACAAAGTCAAATTAGCAATCAGAGGTTATTTGAAATCTGGCAGCCAATGAATCGGAAGTAGATGACTTTAAGGCTATTGAGTCTGTTTCCTGGAAGATGATGGCCATTCGCCTCCAGAGTACATTTGGTCACTATAGGAAGTGCTAAGTGTTATAAGTTACTTTTTTTCTAGTAGACAGTGCTGGCTACACATTTTTAAAAATTCAGTGCCAATTCGATAATACATTGTACAATTAATGTTAGAAAAAGTATATGAATAAGTGAATGAAAACCTATTTTCCTAAAAGGCATACGTAAAGACACTAAAAACATTTTACTTTGACAATGCTTAGTACATAGTTTATGGTAGCTATAGTTATTATGGTTGCACATATTGTAAGGAGGGACCAGTCCTTGGAGAGGGACATCATACTTGGGAGGGTAGAGGGACGGCGCAGGAGGGGAAAGCCCTCTATGAGGTGGATTGATTCAGTGACGGGGTAATTGGGATGGGAGTGTCAGAGACAGAGCAGAGTTTAGAGATGTTGTACATAGGGTTGCTGTTGAGTCATGGGCAACTGGATGGCTCATAACAACAACACATAACATAGTTATTATTAAATATACTCTGATTATAAAGACCTTGTTATCCACTTCTTGCAGGATAAAATTATAAATATGTCTGCTAAAGTTTTTTAAAAAGAGTCCTTTGGAGCTGTCTCTCTTCTGCACTTTTCCTCTGCTCTGGCCTTCTACTTGTCATTATGACATCTTCTTCCATGTGGCATATTTCTGCGTGTGTGCTGGGCACTGAGCTCAGGTGCCCTTTGATGTTGGCCACAGCTCGTGGTGGCTGCTTCCAGACGACAGCCGAGAGGCTCACTGATCACATCAATAGCATGTAGAGTGCTCTCTGCATGCTACTGGGAGGATGCCAGCAGGCAGGGTCACCACAGGCCCAGATGGCGCCTTTGAGCCAAGCAGAAGAGGGGAATTGTCCTGGGAATGGCCCCAGCCCGGGCTAGGGACCACAGCTTGAATTTCAATGTGTGCTGCAGTCCCAGAGGCTCTGATCCACCAGCTGCTCTGCAGGAGGGAGAAAGAGTGGACAGTCTCCTCCCATCTGGAAACCTGCTGGAGTGTCACCTTGATGGTACAAGACAACAGCATTTCCTTATCCAGACAAGGGAACATGGCATGTTTGAAATCAGGGAAGTTGTGTATTAGGGCTATATCTTTTCTGTGTCTGTTCATTTTGTATGCTGAGCAAATCATTGGAGGAGGTAGACTCAGTGAAGAAGACTGTGGCATCAGCACTAGAGGAGGACTGAACAACAACCTGCTTTATACAGGTGACTCAACCGTGCTTGCTGAAAGTAAGGAGGACTTGAAGTGCTTGCTGCAGAAGGTCAAGGACTACTGGAGCCTTCAGTATGGATTATATTTCAACATGAAGTAGACAGAAGTTCTCACCAATGGACAACAACATCATGATAGATGAAGAAACTGTTGAAATTCGGAATTATTTCATCCTACTTGGATCCACAGCCAACACCCTTGGTACTAGAAGTCAAGAACTCAAAAGACATAATGCACTGGGAAAATCTGCTGTATAGGGCCTCCCCAAAGTGCTGAAGAGCAGTGATGTCAGTGTAAAGACTAAGGTTCACCTGAATCACTTGCTATACATCTGAGAGGGTGCTCTGGTGGTCCAGTGGCAAGAAGCAGTACTGCAATCCAGCAGGCATGTGGTTCGAGGCCACCAGCTGCTCTGCAGGAGAAGGATGGACACTCAACTCCTGTGCAAGTAACTGCCTTCCAGTTCTGACTTGACAGTACGCAACGACATACATCTGACAGCTGGACAGTGACTAAGGATGACAAGAAGAGCTGTGCCTTTCAGTTGTACTGAATATTGCATAGACTGCCCAGATAGCGAACGTGTCTTGGGAAAGAGCAGCCAGGGTGCTTCTGAGATGGGGAAGCTGCTTCTCACATACTTTGGACGTGTTGTTAGGAGAGGCTTTTCCTTGGAGAGGGACATCATGCTGGCGGAGCTGGAAGGTCAGTGGAAGAGCGGAAGACCCTCAAGCAGATGGATAGACAGACACAGTGACTGCAGCAGCGGGCTCAGGTCTATCAGAGATGGTGAGGGTGGCGCAGGTTCGCATCTGTTCATGGGATCACGACGAGTCACAGTTGACTCACTAGCAACATTTCCTCAGCTCGGTGAACTTGTGCAGCGCCCCACCCCATGCAGGCCTCTCTCTCACTGTACCTCAGACTAAGGTGATGAGATAGGGGTCAGTGGAGCAGAGAGCAGTTTAGATGGGCCTGGGTGGGTGGGGTGAGAGCAAAGCACGGCTGTCTGTTCTATTTGGACAACTTGTCTGCCTCCTGTTCTTTGTAGCGATGGTATTTTACTCATAACATGCGTATTACACGCTCTTTCGCAAATTGTGCACCCCTCACGTTAGTTTCATATGTGCAGCATATGCATATTATCTGTGTGCACGTTGTACATGGGAAAATACGGTAATGTTTCTCATTCTAGATCTTTGCGGGTCGTCTTAACACTTCTAATTTTTCAAAGAGCTGTAAAATACTATCCTGCTGTGAAAACAATCCTTCATACTGCAAAACATCCAGGGGGAGCAGAAAGCTGAAAGTGAAGCTCACCACTCTGACATTCTGAAGAATCTCCTTCCATATTATTATTCTGTTTGCTTATTTGAGGGGTGGGGACTCTTAAATGAGCCCTGGCGGTGTAATGGACTAAACACTGGACCGCTAGCCGTAAGGTGGACCAGCTTCTCTGTGGGAGGACAACATGGCAGTCTGCTCCCATCAAGATTTACACCCATGGGAATCCTACAGGCGTTCCGACCTTCCGACCCGAGCTGGCATTGACTGTTTGGGGGTGAAGTTTAATTCTCCTTGGCTTATACATTTTCTTATGTACCACTGAGTCAGAACCAACTTACAACTGGCCCCTCTAGCAGATGTTCAGAGGCAGTAAATCGCAAGGAAGCGCTGGTGGCCCAGAGGTAAGAGGCTGCACTGCTATGCCAAAGGCATGTGGTTCAAATCCACCAGCTGCTGCACGTAAGAAGGATGGGCATTCTCCTATCCAATTTACTGCCTCTGAAAGCCCTTGCATGGGAGGAGATTGGCCTCCTTTTTCCCCGCGGAGCAGCTGATGGATTCAAACTGCATGCCTTCAGGTTGGCAGCGCAGTTCGTTACTGCTAGGCCACCAGAGCTCCCTGGTACCTACTTTAGGGTTTTAAAGGATTTGCTATGTTTGCACGCTTTAGGTTTGCCTTGCGTATATTTTCAAGGGTACTGATTGTGTCACAAGCAGAAAGTGAACTCCTTCGTTGGATCTTTTCCTTTGGAGGAGGATGACTGCGTCCCGTGGGTTGACTTGGGTTTTCAATCACCTTGAGTGATTGAAATGGTTCGCATGCTAAGTTGCTAAGCAAAAGATTGGAGGTTCAAGTCCACACAGAGTTGTCAAAGAAAAGTTGTCTGCGAGAGGGTGTGGACAAGGAAGAAAATATGAAGGGACCGCTTCCTTTCCTCAGGTCCTGAGCTCTCCTTAGAGCCGACTACATGCAGGCCCCACACTTGACTGCTGCTCATAGTTTGTCCATTTCACTGAAGTGTAATATGAAAAGCATAGGAACTTTGAGGGGAGAGAAGGAAAAGCATCACAGGAAAAAGATTCGTCTCCTTCATTTCCAACATGGAAGAAACTTAAATGGATTCCCCGGACCCTGAAAAGCTTTTACAGTGCCCCTATGATAAACACCACCAGATCAGGGCCTGCAGGTTTCCTTATCTAATCGAATGCAGAGAGAATCATCCTGATGTCGCAAACAAATTAGCCACCTGTGGCTTCAGTGCTCGCCACCAGGTTCCTCAGACAGAAATCAGTCATCATATCTCAGGCTGTAATGACAAGAGTTGTATTGAGCAGGATATTATCAATCAGACAAGGAACCTTGGACAAGAGACTCTCACTGAGAGCACATTGCAGTGTCCTCTTTGTGATGAAGACTGGGATAAAGATTTGTGGGAACAGACCAGTAGCCCATTTGTCTGGGGCACAGCCACCTACTGTGGCAACAACAGCCCTGCAACCAGCATAGTTACAGAACATAAGAGTAACCTGGCTTCAGGTATGCGAGTTCCCAGGTCTCTGCCATATGTTCTGCCATGGAAAAACAGTGGAAATGCACAGTAACTGAGTATGTCATCAAAAGCCAGACTTAAGAAGACTTCTGCTGCTTCCTACTACCAGTGTGTTCTTCATTTTCTCCTAATCTAATTATAGAAAGATTAACTGTGGCTTTCAAACTGAAAAGTACCTTTTTTCCTCCCTCAAAAAAAAATTCACCCATTTCAAAGTGGAGCACAGTTCTACTCTGACACACACAGGGTCCCCACAAGCCGATCTACTCATTGGCAACTCGGGCCTTTCCCCTAAGCAAGATGTGCAAGCGTATCAACACCTGAAGGCCAGCAGGGAGCGCAGCTGAGAGAAGGCTGCAGAATAACTGCTACCTTTTTGATGAGACGGAGCCCGGAGCCCCGCAAGCACTTCAGCTTCTTGATCACTTAATGGAGGGATGGGTGTGGTAGTCTGGGCTCATTTCTTCAGGAAACAGTGCCACCTACTGGTGATTCTTTGCATAGGCTCATGGAGTTTCTCACATCCTGTTTGGAATCAGCAGATCAAAGCCTTGCCCAATTCAGCAGCTTTTTCACAACCAATCTCTGCCATGCTTAAGCCCATCAGTGCTGTCATGGTGTCACCCTGTCTGGTTAAAGGTGGTGTGCTCCAAATCTGACCCTCTGCTTTTTTTTAAAATTTCTACTAATTTATTTAAAAAATTCTAATACATTGTTTTAGAGAACAGATTCTTGCCATTTCCCTCACCCCCTCACCCATCAAATTGTACAACCCCATGATTAATCCCTTCTCACCCTGCACCTCCTCATCCCTCTGCTTCCAACCCCTCCCACCTCTCTTGGATCCTTATTCTACAATAATGGTAAATATTTATCCCTTTGGGACTAAGTTCACTCAACATAATGTCCTCCAGTCCCTTCCAAGTTGGGTAATAAGTTATAAAATCATTGCTCCTGCATACTGCATAGTATTCCATTGTGTGAATGTGCCATAATTTCTCAATCTATTCGTTTGTGTTTGGACATTTGGGCTGTTCCATCTTCTTGCGAATCCACCAGCTGCTCCATGGGAGACAGATGGGCAGTCTCCTCCTGGGTGATTTACAGCCTCTGAAAAGGTGCTGGAGGGTCAGGTATGAGTCACTTCTGACTTGATGGTACACAACAACGACTGGCCTCCTTGTGTTCTCAATGGTACATAACAACAATGACTGACCTTGTGTTCTCTTCTCTGCCAGGTGGACGAAGAGTATAAGAACCCTCACACTGTGGACAGAGTGCCTCTAGGGAAGCTGCCCCATCTGTGGGGTCAGTCGCTATACATCCTCGGCTTGCTGCTGGCAGAGGTAAGGAGCTTGGTCTGAGCTGGGGATCATACAGAGGTTCTCCGCTGGGATGGACAGGTGTGTGTCTGTTGCAAATTCGCGTGTTTGAAGTCAGCTGGACTCTTGGCCCTGAGGCCTGCCACCTGGGTGTGTAAGACCGTATTTCCATTTAAGCAGCTCAGCATGGGCCCTGCTGAGCACTCCCTGTCCCTCCTGCTGGTGCCCCTGACCTGCACCCCGAACCTGTCTGAATGGTTGGTCCGCAACAGTCTGGAAGTGTCTTCAGTTCGCCCCAACACATCTGGAGTAGATATGGGTTTTGGGCAATGACAAGGCCTGCTGCCAGTGGGCTGCCTGGCCGTCCCAGGCACCGGAAGGGCTCAGAGGTCTCCCTCGTGACGAGGCAGCAGTCAGAGTTTTCTGCCTGTGGGTGGATTTGGTAGTCAGGAGTTCCCACTGTACCTCACCCAGCAGGTCACGGCATTGTCTTATTTGAAGACTGAATTAAGCTCTGAAGATAGAAATGTCTGAGAGCTACTGGAACCTCACTCCTTAGACCAGGAGGAGCAGGGGTTTCCACCCTTTGGGCTGGGTTGACCCGTACACTGGCTCAGCCCTGGGTAGGCGGCCAGCTCTGGAAACGAGGGAAGTGCTGTGTGGAGGACACTTGCTGCGGGGGCAGACAAGGGGGCTGTGGTTGCTGAGGGGGCACTTGGTTCATGTCTGGTCCTCTTGGACTGCCCTTACTCTTAGGGATATGGACTGCCTCCTCTGCTTCTGTGGCATAGTCTGTAGGGAGTTGTGCTGCTTAACCTAATGACAGCATCTCTCAGGCAGTTCAAATCCATTAGCAGACTCTTGGGAGAAAGCTGAGCAGTTTCCTTTGCTGCCATTTATAGCTTCACAGAACTTGGTGTGAGCCAGTGGTGAGTCGCTCCTGACTCAGTGGCGATGAATTTGAGGTTTGTTGGCTTGGGGGATTTTTTTTTTCCTCCCTGTCTTAGTCATAAGGAAAATACGTACATATTTCTTGGAAAACCAGTCAATCTCTAATGCTCTGTGGCCTTGGGTAAGCCACTTGACCTCTTGGGGCCTTGCTGTCCTCAGCTGTAAAGTGGAACGGTTGGCTTGCTCTCCTCTGCTATTCCTTGCCACTCGGGCCCATGAGACCAAGCAAACAATTCTCACCCATGCCCCAGGTAAGGGACTCGTCTGGGCCCAACAGTAGGATCAGTTCCTCCTCTGAACCCCCAAGCACTGAGATCTTCCCTCATGGGGTTCAGACCATTTCTAGAATATATGAGGTACTCCATAGTCGCCAAATGCACAGGGAGCAGTTTTCTTCCAGAAGCTAATCCTTGTGTCAACTCCCTGCTTGGCCACTCACGTCTGTACAACGGAGCTGATAGGCCTGCCCACCTCCCCAGGCCTCGATGTGCCTATAGGTAGAGTCACTCCACCCAGCACACAGAGGGCTCTGGAAATAGTTGACATTGTTATTGAAGCACACTGCTGGTCTTTCGAACTGCTGACCTTTGAGTTAGCTGCCACACAAATAACCATTGCACCCAGAGGGCATCTTGAGAGGTAGGTGCCTTGTCTACAGAGATAACATGAACAAGCCATCCTGTTTCCGAGACGGTAAGTAATTGAGTAAAAAAAGAAAAAGGGATATTTCTGCATGTTATGAGCCCCAAAGGGTTACATTTTTAAACTTCACTTTTAGATGAAATTTTAGTAAGTATTTCATAGTGTGACTGCTCCTCTTTTCTTAGGGATTCCTTGCCACTGGTGAAATTGATCCCTTAAATAGAAGATTTTCCACTTCAGCCAAACCTGATGTTGTAGTACAAGGTTTGTATGTTTCTTATTCATATTTAACTTTGAAAATGCAATGCTATTTTTAATTCCAATTGTTCCCTAGTTTCCCATTTAATGTAAAAAAAATAAAAACAACAAAGCCAAACTTGTGTATGATTTGGGGTCTAGCAGCACTGTGAAATACCTTTGTATAACGCAATAGCTCCCAAAGGCAATGATATTCTTCCCAACCACAAATTTAATTTCCACAAAGCAATTGTTTCTTACACCCCAATTCCAGCTGGGGCACAAGTAATTCATTGAGCAGCATTTTTTTTTTTAAATAAGTGTTCTTCTTTGGAAAATGGAACCTGATCCCGGTCAGAGCTCAGGACACCCATAAGGGCCATGGACATAGTGTTTCTTCCTCCCGTTTTGAGTTCTCAGCAGAGTTGGCCAGGGAGGAGGGCCGGGGACAGCTGCGTCTGTGCCCTCTTCGTGGGTCATTGAGAGGATTAAACCAGAGGGGCTCCAGAGAAGCACCAAAATGTTTTTTGTGCCTCACAGAACTCTTAAATCAGTCACACATCCTGTATACATGTACAGTCATGTATCGTAGCCCATTTTGCAAACAACTTTTCCCGCTTAAATTAGTCTGCATTTCTTAAAAGACAAGGCCCTTGCTATTTTAACAGCTCTGTTTTGATTGCCACCATGCAGTTAAGACACTGGAAGCAATCACTGAACAAATGAAAGGCATTCTTTGTTCTTCCTTGAGGCCACTGCCTGTGGTCCAATGAGAATACCCAGTCAGTATTGGCCACCTGGCCCTCCACAAGGCCCAGCATGCCGATTAGGTAAAAGTTGAGATGACACTGGTCACTAGTCCCATCTTTAAGGCTTTGAAATGAACTTAGTCACTCATGGCCTCACACCCTGGCTCTGGAGTCTAGCACTAGTGTGGCCGGCTACCCTGTGTGAGGCTGCAAGTCATGCTGCAGTCCGGGTCCTGCCGGAGCTTGACCAGCATCTTTGAAAATGTGAGGGAAGTTCAGGATTATGTCTGCCCCACGCTGCGTGAGGGGGTGGGCGTGTTGTGCAGAACTCATTCTAGAAGGAAGGCTTCAACAAAGGGTGTGGTTTTGTTCACCCTGAAGAGACCCACCAGGTCTGCATGATGAAGCTGGGGTGGGAGTCAGGTTCCAGGCCCTGCTCACCCCAGCTGGCCATGTCAGCGTGCAGCATCTCCATCCCGGGCTGGGAAGTGCCAGCTGGACTGTGGAGATGCAAGATACTGTCATGAGTACACCTGCTAGGCAAAGAAATGGAAGTGGCCTTCCTCCTCGCAGTATATTCAGGCCCGAACAACCTGTGCAAACAGTGGCTGGGGACGGGGTGGTGGCAGGCCCCCCAGTAGTAGCCAGGCCTCTCGTCTTGTGTGAGCGCAGTCGGGCCGGCCCTCTGCACTGTCCAGCCCGTGCTCTGCTGCAGCCCTCATCCCTCTGTGGTGCCCTCTGAGACACCTTCCTTTGCCCAGGCACTGCCCCTTCTCACCAAGGCCAGCGCTTCAGGTGCTGAAGACTGATCCCCATGTGGCCCTAAGTGGAAGACTGGCACCTCCATCCAGCCCAGTGACCCTGGCACCCGGAGCCGCTCCTGCTGGAGAGCCACATGTCCCCTGTTGGGAACCGTAGACCTAAGGCCCAGGCCCAGTGTTATGGCCCTGGGTGGACCAGGCTGCCTTTGACCTGCCACTTGCTTTGCCTGCTCTCGGGTGGGCTGCCCTAAGTGCTGTCCCCCTTGGTCCACAGCCAGGGTGAGCAGACTCCACTCACTATAGGCTTCTCCTGGCATCCCTGTGGAGCCTAAGGCAGGGTAGAACCAGCACAGACCCAGGAGGTGCAGAACAGAGTTGAGGTGTGGTAATCTGTTGAAGATGGTTTATAGAAGCTTCTTTCAGACAGTCCCCATGGAAAACACTGGTTAGTGATGTATCACAGTCATCTGGGGACAGCGGGCAGCAGCGAGATGAGCACAGTGGCTTTCAGAGCACACAGGGCCACGGGGAGCATGCTGATGTGCTGCCGCAGCCAGAGGAAAAGAACCGTAATGGATGCAGGGCCACGGAGGGCACGGCGCTGCACCTGGTGCCAGTTCTTCTCCCATCTCGTCCACAGTGGCTGTTTTGACCGAAAACAATCAAATTAAGGAGCTGTTGAGGAAACATGGGATAAACGTTCAGAGTATTTCTGACGTCTATCCCATCCGCGTTCAACCTGGCCGGATCCTTAGCCACATATATGCCAAGCTTGGTAAGTGTAGGGATGTATCGGGGTGTGCTTTGTGAGGAGGGGCATCTCAGGTGGAACTTGAGAGGTGGGTGGGGGGCTGTGATCTGGGAAAATTCTAGAGCCTTGAGCTGGACATGCATGCCAGCAGGGGGACCCCTCCTAGCTGGTGCCCTTGTGTTCTCACATCCCTTCAGAGGACGATGAGCAGGCAGAGTGGCCTGAAGAGAACGAAATAGGGACCTCAAGTTTGAAAAGTCACAGGCAGAAGAGTCATTTGGATCCTGAGAATTGTCATCAGTAGTATAAAAATACGCTCATTTGCCCATTAAAAATGGAGTGTTTTCTTGACTTTTGAAAAATCTGTGTTTCGTATAACTTTGTACTAAAGACACACAAAAATTATCCATAAAGACTTGTAATTTTCCCCCCATATCACATTTTTAAAAAATGAACACAAGTCATAGGGAGATATGTTCTAAAATCTCTCTTTAAAATCAGACCTTCTGACCAAAAATGTGCTGTGATATTATCCTTTGTCCTGACCAATATGGTCTTTTGGGCCAGAAGAATAGTGCATGTCAGCAAAAAGACTGGAAAAGTCTTTTTTATTCTACTTTTTACGATTTTTTTAGTCAATAATGATTTTTTTTTATTCTTTGATGCACATTTTCCTCCCTTCCTATCCCTTCCCCCGCCCCAGTCCACTGTGCAATGTGCCTCTTATTCCAGATCGCCATCGAACATACAATGGCTAATCGTATATTCCTTCCAGAAAGTTCTTCCCCTCTGTTCCAATGCAGTGTTGTTTATAATCTGTCTACTCTTTTCCTATTTTACTCCCAAACCCCCCCCCCATGTCAGTCCTATTTTATAACGGTGGTATGCTTTTTGACCGAGATATTTCACTCAGCATAATGTCCTTCAGGGTCACTCAGGTTGTGCAATGTTTTATGAGTTCATTGTGTTTCATTGCTGCTTGGTATTCCACTGTATGACTATACCATAGTTTTTCTATCCTTTTGTTTGCTGCTGGGAATTTGGTTTGTTTCCATCTCTTTGTTATTGTGAATAACACAGAAATAAAAATGGGTGGGCAAAGATATGTTTGAGTCGTGACTCAGGTTTCTCGAGGGTATATTCCTAGTAGTGGCATTGCTGGGTCAAATGGTCTTTCTGCCTCTGAATTTTTGAGAAAGCGCCTGAATGTCTTCCGTAATGGCTGTACCATTTAATATTCTTACAAGCCGTGAATATGAGAGAGTTCCAGTCTCTCCACAACCTTGTCAGCATTGGTTCTTTGCTTCCCTATTGAACTTTGCTGTTATTGCTGGCACGAGATGATATCTTAAAGTTGTCTTAATTTGCATCTCTCAGAATCGAGCTAGGGATTTTGAACATTTCTCCATGTGTGTGTTTGCCATCTGACTGTCATCTTTGGTAAGGTGTCTATTCATGTCCTGTGTCAATTTTGTGATTGTGTTATTTAACTTTTTCTTGCCAAGGTGCTGGAGTATTCTGTAAATTTTAGATGAGTCCCTTATCATATGTTTCATTGCCAAATATTTTTTCCCCAATATATGGTACTACTTCTTACCCTCTTGGAGAAGTGTTTTGATATGCATTGGAATTAAAATCAGAATGATTTATCTATTTTATTTTATCCTGGTTGTAGGTTTTTCATTATGCCCGTTCATGCTGTGGATTAGGGCCTCTAGAGTTGTTCATAGCTTTTCTCTGATGAATTTTATGTCTTTGGTTTTACTTCTAGGTCCCTGATCCACCATGAGTTGTTTTTTTTGTATAAGGTGTGAGGTATGGGTCTTGCTTACGTTTTCTGCAGATACCAGTTCTGCCAATACCATTTGTTAAAGAGGCTATTGTTTCCCCACTTAAAAGATTTTGTCTCCTTGTCAAAGATATTTTAACCAGCGGTGGGTGAGTTGATTTCTGGGTTCTCCATTCTATTTCATTGTTTCTTTCATTGTTTCTGTACCAGGACCACACTGTCTTGACCACTACAGCTGTATAGTAGGACTTGAGATCAGGGAGTGAGATGCCTCCTACCTTTTTTTCTCTTTTTCAGTAGTGTTTTGCTTTTTCGGGGTCTTTTTCTAGTCCCGATAAAATTGGAAATTACCTTTTCCATCTCGTTGAAGAATGAATATAAAGGCCTTTTACTGGTTTTATTCCATGGAGTGTTGGACCAGGTTCTATTCCTATGTGTGCATGGAAAGAAGGACGTGAGATGTGTTTACTTATCTTCAGCCTTATCTCCCTTTAAAGGGGGTGCATCAAAGATGACGATGGCACAGGATAAATAAGGCAGGTTTCAGGATGGCTGTCCATTGAGTTGCTATGAGTTATACTCGATGGCACCTAACAATAACAACAGCAGTATTACAAGCTTGCTTTGGTGGCCTAGGATCAAGGACTTGTGCTTCCAGCTTGAAGAAGGCACGTAGTTCTAATCCACCAGCTGCTCTGCAGGAGAAAGATGGGCAGTCGTCTCCTGTGTGACTTACTGCCTCTGAAAACCCACTGGAGTGTTAGCTATGAGTTGATTCCAACTTGAGTGGACTTAACAACAGCAACAATGCTATTAGACACACTCAACTGCAGAGTGGATCATCTGACAGCAGATTGATCACCCCCTGCCCTCAGCCATCTAGATACATTCTTACCATGTTGACTCGCTAATTCCAGTCGCTCTTTTTGATTTTCAAATAGGACGCAACAAGAATATGAAATTGAGCGGGCGACCCTATCGACACATTGGCATCCTTGGTACATCTAAGCTCTACGTGATTAGGAACCAGATCTTCACTTTCACCCCTCAGGTGAGCAGAGCAGGCCGGGGGAAACCAACAAGCATTGATGTCAGTGCTCTCTTCTGTCTGGCGGACATTTCTCCTTGATGTTTGCATAGACATGGAAGATGGCACCCAGTTCCTACTCCTTTTGTTTTTTCTTTTTGCTTACAGTCGATGCTCAATAAATGCTCATTAGCTTGTACCGAGAGGGCATCACTTCTAGTCATGAGTACAACTGACACCCAGTTTTACAGATTTGCTAGTGACATGTCACTCGATGCTCTTGATCACCTGCTCTCTGTGTGATATTCAATCAGCCTGATTTTCAGACCCAAGCCAGATACTGACTATTCTCAATTAGGTTTCTGATCACGGACATCGTGTTCCATGTTTTTGTTTCCAAAGAAAGTTCTCTGGAAAGACCTGCAGGGGTGCCTTCGTCCATATTTCCCATCCATCTGAGCTGATTGAAAGACAGCTTTGTCCACATGGATTGTGCCCCTGTCTACCTGGGCACTCGCTCAGCCACACTGTCTCAGGCTGAAGCCTTAGCTTTTTTGCATCTTATTTTATTCTGCTTGCTCACCAAGAGCTTGTGAGTTCTTTCTCCTGTCAGTGAAAATCAGTCCAGAGCCGAGCATGGACTGGTTCTGAGGCCAGGAGGACAATTTGATTGTCACCAATATCAGGCAACAGTTCCTTTCTCGCTTATTAGCAGGGTCACCCACCAGGTAAACAGAGTCCAGGCACACCCACTCGCAGCCACTAGCCCCCTCTGCTCAGCTCAGTGCTGAAGCTGGCAGCCCAGGACGGGGAGCAATTAAGGAGCTATTGATTTGCTTTCAGTGAGAGCAGTCTTGGGGAAGGAGCTGGAAATAACGCTAGGCACGTGCCTTCCCTTCTGCACCAACGAAGCAGTGCTCCTTGGCAAGCAGCGCCTGATCAGATGGACCAAAGCTGGGACCAAGCCTTTCCTGGGCCACAAAACAGAAGGCTTAGTGCTGTCACGAGCAACAGCTCGAGATGTTACAGGATAGATGGCAGGTGCTTTTACCTGGCCTGTTTTGACTTTCAGTTCACTGACCAGCATCATTTCTACCTGGCCCTGGACAACGAGATGATCGTAGAGATGCTACGTATCGAGCTGGCCCACCTGTGCACCTGCTGGCGGATGACGGGCCGACCCACACTCACCTTCCCCATCACCCACACGATGCTAAGTAACGCTCACTCACCCTCTCTGATGTGGGGTTGGGCCCTTTCCTAAATACTTCAGATAGCTGCCATGGAAAGGAGCTAGGTGCCAGGGGGCAATCCCTAGTCATTGGATGTCTTCTGTCAGGAATCATCTCTGCTATAAGTATTTGAGTTTAGTCCCATTGAAGAAAACCTTTCCACACATGCCCAGAATTGTGCTCTGGGATTAAATCACCTTATCTGTCCATCTCTCTGTCTCTCAGTCTCTCTCTCTCTCTCTCTTTTTTTAACGTCCCTTAGCAAATGACGGCTCAGACATTCACCCTGCTGTTCTTTCTACGATCAGAAAACTAGAAGATGGCTACTTTGGAGGAGCGAGGTAACTTGTGATTTTTTTAAAGACACACTGAACATCGACTGTTGCATTTGTCAGAGTGACTGTTTGCACATTGAAGCATGGAATTTTAGGGTGAGAAGGAAGTTGAAATTGATGTGACCCAGCCACTCATGTGGCACCCGCAGCGTCTCGCAAAGTGTTGAGGGCTTGCTGTGGGCAACAAGTAGCCCGCGTGTCAGGCTTCTGCTGGCCCCTCTGGGGCTGTTTAACGGCGGGCTCCATGGTGACAGTCTCCATCCAGTCAGCCATCTCGCACTCAGCCTGACCAGGAGAACTTACTGAACCTTTTTACGGTCTGTTTTCCCCTCTCCCCTTTATCTCCTCATTGTGAAAATTGTGTTGGATGCCGTTCACTGAGTGCTCACAGCACGCTTCCTGCTCTCTGTGTGCTCATGCTGACTCCCCCCTTTGTGAGGTGGGCTCTCTTCCCATTTCCTGGACAAGGAACTGTGCAGAGCAGGGGCACCCACAGCAGCCATCAGTACTGGCCGGGCTGGAGAAAGCTGCTGGCAATCGGGAGCTTCTAGAGAAACAGATGGTCACAGAACTTGGGACAAAATCTGCTTAGTTCTAGATAACTTGAGGAACATCTCATTTTAGCTCTTACTCTGCTTCAGGATTTTTTTTAAAAAACTGGGCTCCCACACCATTCTGGGCTCTCCCTGGAGGTCCACATGGGTGGCGGTGGGGAGGTTTGCAATCTGAAGTGCTGTGAAATGATTGCTCTTCCACCATGGTGTTCTCTAGAGCCTTATAACCCAGTCGCTTCTCACTGACTGGATCAGAAAGGACCTTCCCGTGGCTGTTTCCCTGCCACACCCCACAAAGTCTAAGACGACTGTCATTTGACCAGCCCCATGGCCTGTTGGAAGGTTTTTACCCCTTCAGACTAAGCTCTCCCTTCCTGCTGACTGCCTTTCTCGAAGCAATCAGTTTGCCCTCTGAAGCTTCAGCATCTCTGACAGATTTGTACTGCATGTTTGAGTTTAGTCCTGACACATTTTCCTCACCTGTTTGAACAAATTCACAGCCACAGGCTGGCCAGCAGGAAGGATCCTAGCTGACGAAGCACCCAAGTACCTTGCCTCCTGCAGGTGGCGTGCTGAGGCACCCAGCCCTGGGGCGGGGCTGCATAGCCCACCGCTCAGAGCCACACGGCCAGCCCCTGCCTCCTTGTGTCAGCTGAGCTCTGCGTGGCCTTGTACAGTAGAACCACACGGGTGACAGGCTTGCCCATCCCATCCCTCTCTAGAGCCATTGGGTTCTGGGAAGCCTCTCTCTCACTGTGATCCCCTGGCCCTGCGTGACTGAAGCAGGTGGCAGAAATGTATCAGCCAGATCACAAGTGTGCCCAGGAAAAATTCACGTACGGTTTTATTTGGATCCCCTTGCTTTAGGGTGAACTTCAAGAGTTGGTTTTGGTTAAAAGTGGTTTGCTCAGTACGTTCTCTCAAGCCTTAGGTTCAATGTGAAATAGCTCTTGTGTTTGAGTTTGGCTTGAGAGGAAGAAATTAGTGTTTCCTTTTGGCCTTTAATATGCTATCTGCTTCCACTTCATACTTTGCCTTGAATTTTCATTTCTTAACTGACTACTTAAATGGAATGCTCTGTGGAGTTACACATTTATTGATTCTGGTAGAAGTGCCACCTGGTGGTTAAGTCTCTTGCTGACTCATTGCGGAAGTGGGTCCACACTCCATCAGCATTACTACCACCCTGTCCTCTTGGCAGAGTGAAGTTGGGGTTCCTTTCGGATTTTCTCACCACCTCATTCTACACGTACCTGACCTTCCTGGATCCCGACAGTGAGGAGAAGTTGTTTGATGACATCAGCGAAGGAACCACCAGTCCCGACAGTGACGCTGACATGGGAGGGTTTTTAGAAGACACCTGTAGAAGAGGTATGGGGAGGGAGGTGTCTGCGCATGCATTGGTCAGTGAGTGAAGCCTGATGTTGTGATGAAATTGCCAGTAGGCTCAAGCACAGACAATTCCAACAACCAAAAAGACGTTTCTGAAACCCGAAGGAACGAGAATGAAGAGAGATGCCAATTCTAAAACCTAAACTGTGCCTGACACCCTCAAAAGTGGGACTTTATTACACATGGAAGAACAAGGGGTTTTAGGAACTAGGGCTCTTCACCAGAAATCCCTGAAGGCAGAAATGCAGTGCTTAGAGTTTCAAAAGGAGTAGTAGCATAACTTAGGCTTGATGGGGTATGTGTTCTGTGGCCCTGTACTTAGAACCTCTCTACCCAAACTGAGTCACCTCATGGCTTCAAGTGATCCATTTTGACTTTCAGATGGTAGGTGGAACTAGGGATGGAGGACCCATCATGCTAAGCTCACTCATGACGCATTAGAACAAAGAGACTATGCAGTGGCTGCTGGGATAATGTGATGGAAACACTACCCTGACTTGTCTTTTCTGGGGATAAAATTTTCCCAAGCAGGACGATTTTAAGCACACACACTGTCTCTGTGAATCACTGTTAGGTTGTTGGGGCTGGAAGGGCTGTGCCAGCGTCTCAAGGTCAGCGGGGTCCTAACTGGCATTGCCCACGTAGCATATGGCCATGCAAAGGCACACCTCTGCGTTGGGAATGGTGCTGCAGCTTGTTTTCTTTGCCTCTTTTTCTTGCCTGTCCATCTACAGACAGCCAGGATGACCTTGACCAGTATATCAACCACCTGCTGCAGAGCACATCTCTGAAGTGCTACCTGCCGCCTCTTTGTAAGAAGACAGAAGAGTGCCATGTTTTCAGTGCCGTCCACTCTACTCGGGATATACTTTCCGTCATGGCAAAGGCAAAGGGTTTGGAAATTCCGTGTACGTTAGTAACTTTTTTTGCCTATTAACTTAATTTCTCTTGTCAAACTAACACACAGACATAAAAGAATCCTAATTGGTAATAAAACATAGATGTTTCCTGCCTCACCCCTTCCAACGCCCCCAGGCCGCTGCCTTGGCAGCAGCCACTTTCGCTTTCAGCTCTTCCAGCTATTTCTTCTGGCATTTACATAGCTCCATTGTTTTTTTCTAAAATAATGTGTTTATACAGTCGTCTTGTGATCCATCAGTTTTATTTTGTTATCTCTTGACTTCCTGTTGTGTTAATGAGGATTTCAAGATCTTACATCATCACTCCTCCCTTTCCTTTCCCTGCCCTACCAGTGTGGTTATATTGAAGATTTAGATAAACAGGGTGGAGGGAAGGAGGGGGTAAAGGAAATGAGAAAGATCTGGCGTGAAAAACAATGTATACAAACTTTGGAAGTAAAGCACTATAAAATAAAAATATTATTAACAAAAAAGTTTAGATAACTTAGTCTTCACCTTGATAACTTATATGCACATATTACATACAACTGAGTATTATAACATACTGCCATCTGACTTTTTGTCTTTCCAAAGTTAGCAGTTGCCTTGTCTTTCTGCTTTGCTTTCTCTCCACACCTTCCAGTGGTCTTGCCATATACATTTCCGTATTAAGTTCAAGCATATCTGCAAGTGTCTGGGGTCCACTGTCTTTCTCAGCACCCATGAGTCCCCCTCTAGGTGGATTACACACTAGACCTGCCACCATACCTGCCACCTGTGACCCCCTTACTGTCATCTTGGAATTTCTTTGGCTGATATCTTAGTTTGATTACCTGTTTCCAGAATCACTTGTGTTCCGCATTCTCAGTTTATTCCTTTGTTTTGGTAGACCACATTTTAGTATACTTTCAATAAATTAAAAAGAGTACAATGGAATAGGGTGTGGTGGCGATAGCCTTTCAGCATGCTTGTTTTGAATTCATGGTGTGGTGTCTTCTGACCTTGCTTGGGGTGCATTGCTTTTTACTTTGAGGTCTTCCTTTTCATCATTCTAGAGAGTTCCTTTGCTTGTCTCCCGAGTTGACTCTCCTGTCTTCTGTACCTCAGCTCTTCTATGGCTTATGCCACACTCACTCCTCAGAAGTGCTCTCTCTCTTCCTCCCCCTTGGTTTTAGGTGTATTTTAATGAAACTATCTCTGGATTCTTGTTTTCCAGTTGGTTCCATGGCATTGCCCAACAGTGTCCTGAGTACCCACCGGAAGTCGCTGAATCTGGTTGATTCTCCGCAGCCACTTCTCCAAAAGGTGAAGCATTTGACAAGCTCAGGGATGTAAAATGTGCTACAGTGGTGCTTTGGGTCTCATGAATTGTTTTAAATAGGCTCAAAAGAAAGAAGCGTACTTTTTGATATCTAGGACTTCTAGGAGGAGCTTTAAAGCGAGGCTGTGTGTGTCTGGTGGGTCAGATCCTCAGGGAGAAGCTGGCCAGTCTCTTCCCATTAAGTTTTCCAGCCTTGGAACCAAGTTGATGGCAGTGACATGAACACAGGAGGACTTTTAGAATCAGGAGCTCAGTCACTTTGTCTTCTGGAATCTGATTTGCACGGTGGTGGTGGTAGTGTGCTGTTGAGTTGGAACCGACCCATAGGGTTTTCAGAAGCCCTTTAATGGTACAGGAGGCACTGCCCATCCTGCTCTGATGCCTTTGGGATTGCAATGCAGGTTCCTACCACCAGGGCACCAGAGCGCCACACTGTAGTGTGTGCATTTAATTTGATACCAACATTTTTATTTTGTGACTAGGAAAAGGCTGCAGACGTACATATTATCAGAACTTGAGTAGCAGAAGAGGAAATAAACTTAACTCCGTACCTAGCCCAACCCTATCTGAGCTGACCAGCCCGAGGTTGACACATACACACACACACAGAGAGCAGGCTGTGGGGTTCTTTATTCTAAAACTTTCTTAATATGTGAGGGCGTGGGGGAATAGTTAAACAATTCCCTAGGAAGACCCCAAGGTGTTCCCCAGATTTTGTTCTTTTCTCCAGAAGCCTCTCCGATTCTATCTTACATGAACAGAAAGGTCCCATTTCTGTTGGAGAGTGCTTCAACCTGAGCTCGATTCTAGATGTTTTGACACCTGCATACATTTGAGGGGCCCGTGGGCAGAGAATAAAGCAGAGGGGTCTAGCTCTGTGCATGGCCACCCACCACAGCTCTTCACATCCCCAACCTCCACCTCCCCCAGTACCCCAGCTGTCAATCGGCACACAAGCCCCTCAGCCCGCACGTTAGTTTTGCCTGGTTTGGAGCTTCGCATAAATAAAAGCCAAGCCTGTTGAGTCCTGCCTCGTGGAGACCTTGGCTGAGGTGCTGGCACACTGAGAAGAGTATTGTTACAGTGGTGGTTGTGTGTTCTGAGTCCTAGCTGAGCCTCCAGCGGGTTCTCAGAGGCTGTAGATCACATTGAAGGACACTGCCCGTCCTCCTCCAGCGCAGCCTTTGGCATAGTGGGGCAGCTTCTTAGCACTGGGCCACCAGAGCTCCCTGAGGAGAAGACGCAAAGCATGTAAATAGGTGCAGAAGATAACACTGGAGCCCGGCATGGCCACAGGCCGGGGATGGTGGGTGTTCCCCTCCATGTCTTCTGAAAAGCCTTCTTTTGGGCTTCTGTACCAACAGCCTCCTGAAAGTCCTTTCCAGTGGCCCCAAGATGACCATGGTGATGTGGACTGCATGAAGCTGATTGAGCAGCTGAAAGATTGTTCCAACCTCCAGGACCAAGCAGACATCCTGTATATTCTTTATGTAGTCAAGTAAGTCGACGGTCTCCACTAGCTTGGGCTCTCTCCACCCTCCTTAGTTTCTCCCCGGGCCTTCTTGGCCTTCCAGCAAGCCTGGGCCGTGCCTCTGTTCACCCCCAGTGACGTGGAGGTGACACGGAAGATGTGACGTCCCTGCCCTTCTCAGCCTCCCAGGAACATGTGGTTCCCCAACTAGTCGTTTTCCTCATATATACGTGGGGCCACCGAGCCGAGACCTCCGCTTCTCCTGACCATGAGCCGCCCTCAGCAGTCTCCCTCCCTTCCCAGCTTGGCGCTGCTGCCACAATCCGGCCTTGCAACTCTGAGTGTCATCTTTCTGGGCTTTCCACCTCTTGACAGGGGCCCTGCCTGGGACACAAACCTCTCGGGGCAGCATGGCGTCACCGTTCACGTCCTCCTCAGCGAACTGTACGGGAAAGCTGGCTTGAACCAGGAGTGGGGCCTAATCCGCTACATCTCTGGCCTGCTTAGGAAGAAAGTGGAGGTGCTGGCGGAGGTCAGTGCCATCATGCTGGGCTGGTCTCTGTCCTCCCATTAGCCCCATGCCCTCCGCCACATCCAGTCTTCCTGTCACAGAAGCAAGGGACAGGCGCCCACAGTTGGTTAAGGAAACCAGTGTCACACATAGATGAAGCACCTCTCACCGCCCTCAGGAGAGAGGCACTGGCCCCTAATAGCCACAAGAAATGGCTTACTAGACACGGCGCGCAGGTGCTCGTGTTCTGCGGTCAGTGTTAGTGTCCTGCAGTCAGTCCTCTGATAGAGCACATTTCCGCACATCCGGCGTGCTGACACTCAGTCCTTCCCACCCGGGCCCTGTACAAGTGGTGTTCGGGGTAGAGTGGAGTGGCGGCATTTGCTGTGTGCCTAACGTAGGGGTGCTAGCATTTCGGGCCTGCCGTGTGGTGTAAGCCCTTCCCAGCAGTGTCTCCGGTGGCCCAGCCAGCCTGGTCAAGAGTCAGGTCAGTGTGTTGTCAGTGAGTGAGCATCGAATACCCCCTAGATCCCCCACTGAGGAGACATACAGATCCCCAGGGCCTGGCCCTGCCCCAGACTGCTCAGCCTGGGCTCTGAGTGTGAAGGGTTCGAATACGTCTGCAGTGAATCCTGTGGCTTCTCCCACACCTTTAGGCCTGCACGGACCTGCTGTCGCACCAGAAGCAGCTCACCGTGGGCCTGCCCCCTGAGCCCCGTGAGAAGATCATCTCTGCGTGAGTTCCTGGGGCTCAGAAGGGAATGAGGGGGCACCAGGATTTGTTGCCCTCAGTTAGCGCCTTCTTACCTGACAGTCTCTTCTGTGGGGGTGAGGAGACCCTGCCCCTGGGCAGCTATGAGTCTGTGACCTTCCACCCCCTTCTAGGCCCCTCCCCCCAGAGGAGCTCACCAGACTCATCTACGAGGCCAGCGGGCAGGACATCAGCATCGCTGTCCTCACCCAGGTTGGGACTGTGCGCTTGCCCTGGGGCCTGCCTGCCACCCCAGCCCCTCTTCTCGTGTCTGACCCTGGCCCACTCTGTCTGCACCAGGAAATCATAGTCTACTTGGCCATGTATGTCCGGGCCCAGCCCAGCCTCTTCGCGGAGATGCTCCGACTGCGGATTGGACTCATCATCCAGGTGATGGCTACGGAGCTGGCGCGGAGCCTCAACTGCTCAGGTGAGCTCGGGGACCGACGCTCGCTTCTCGGTTTAGGGAGACAAGGGGGCTGCTGCTGACTGGCAGCTTCTGCACTTGCCCCACCAACCCACCCCCAGAGCTCACCTCCTTACCTACATGTGGCCGCTTGGGGAGGGCATGCTGCAAAGTTCCAGTGTGCTAAGCCTGGACCAGGTTTGTCCATTCCAGTGCCTCTCTGGCCCAGGCCCCCAGTGCGGGGCTTTACCTACTGAAGTCAGGAGGATCGAGGCTGCGATGTTTTTCCTCAGAGCCCCGACAGTCACACTGCACCCTCTGTCCTGCCCGACCCCCACGCCCTCACCTGCCAGTGTTTCCTTGTCATTGTGTGTCAGTCAGATGAGGCCTTGTTAGCTTAAATCTATATACCCATCGCAAGATCACCCCAGCATTAGATCTATAAGTGCGTGTCTAAACATTAGGCAGGATTTAGACCCACAAGAGCATGCACAGCATGTGCCACCGCACCCCCATCCTCCACCCTGGCTTCACTGGCTTGTGGGACACTTATGTGTTGGCTTTTAGGAGAAGAAGCTTCTGAAAGTTTGATGAACCTCAGCCCTTTTGATATGAAAAGTCTGCTGCACCATATTCTCAGTGGGAAAGAGTTCGGTGTTGAAAGAAGCGGTAAGTAAATAACCATTTTCACTGTGAGGGGCAGAGGGGAGGTTGCAGATCCGAGATTTCCCACTCACCCTGCCCATCATCTTACCAGGCTACCTCATTTGTAAACAAACTAGAATGAAGGCTTGGGACTAAATTTATGACTGTAATATTAACAGAGTTACTGTGGGATGCAATGGTTAGGCTCTTCAGCTAAGTTTGGTGATTCGAACCATCCAGGGGTGCTGCAGAGGAACCGCCTGGTGATCGGCTCAGAAAGGTCACAGGCCCAGTCACCATGAGTTGGGATCTTCTCAGCAACCACCCACAGCAGTGTGGCTCCAAGGGAGTACTGGGGTGATGCTTTTCAAAAAGGAGGTGGTTTGGGTCTACCCAGAGGCACCTCAGAAGAAAAGCCTGGCAATTTACTTCTGAAAAATCTGCCACAGCAAACACTGTGGGGTCCACTTCCTCTCTGGCACACATGTGGGGACATCGTGAGTTAGAATCAAGTCCGCAGCAGCCACTGGTTCGGGCGCTTTCCCAAGCTCCACAGAGCCCCGGGCTGTAAACGTGGCACCCTCAGAGGTTTGCCTGGAGGACATTTCCAGTGCAGTTCTAGACGGGCATGGCATTCACACCTCTACCCCTCAGGCTTCTAGACAGATGGAAGGAGAGGCAAGGAGGAATGGGCTCCGTTGCAGTTAGCACTTCCAGAAGGTGCTGCCCAAACCTGCTGCCCTAACCAGGCCTGGAGATGAACCTCGCAGCGCCACCTGCCAAGGGCATTCTCGCCTGCCCCGCCCTGTGCGCTGCAGGCACCAGAGCCTTGTTTGCTCTGCTCGGAGACTTAATTGCCCCAGTCTTGGCGGGATTCTGTTCTCCAGTGCTCCCTAATTATAATTGAAGCAATTATTTTTTTTTCTCCTCAGAATAAAGTGAAATTATTTACAGACACATTTTTTAATTTATTTCATCAACCCAGGAGATGAGCTGAGGGCTGTCATTCTTTTCATGTAATAAGTACATTGGATACTTTGTATTTCTCCCCACATGTGTGCCAGGTGGCAAAGGCTGCCTCGAGCCCTCAGATGCTTCTGTGGCTTTTCCCTATCACGAAGGAGCCACCCAGGCTCCTTGTCCAAAAGCCATTCCCAGTGACGTTGAAGTTACCAGGCTTGAAGTGTAAAGATCCCAGATAAATACTGAGTGTGCTCTGCCTACCGTCGCACCATTTGCATGGTTGGACGTAGAGAATTGCTGGAAATTGCTATTAATGGGAAGCTGTCGATGCTCATGAAGCTAGGAGAGGAGAGCAGTGTCACTCGGAAGCCGTAAACATGTCTTTTGAAATAGAACATCATTTGTTAATTGTCATTTGTAATTGTTCAATTTTTGTCAATTGGCCAGCGCAAATAGGCTTAGAAATTTTATTAAGTCTTGAGATGTGGGAGAGAAGTAGTTCCTCACGGGCCTGCCAACCAAAGCCGCATCCTCGTAGAGGATCCCCGACCCCGCTGTCCTCTCAGCGGTCCCTTCACTGCTGTGTTCCAGAGGCCTCAGTCCCCTGCCAGTGTCCCTCCTCTCAAAGCTTCAATGGTCCAGGGGTTGCTGCCGGGGGAAGGAACCTGTAAACAGGGCCCTTGGCTTGGGGGGGGGGGGTCTCAGCAGATGGGCCTGGTGGGAGCAGCCCTTCCAAGTAGGCTGGTAATAGGAGGGCACCGAAGCTGGAGCAGCCTTCCAGGTGAGGGGAGGGTGGCCTTGCTGAGTGGGTCAGCCTCCTGCCCCTGGTAATTGCCACTCCCTCGGCTCTCAGCCGCCCTATCCAGCCCAGGGGCCTTCCAACAAGCTCAGCCCCCATCTGCTGTCTCCACTTCCCACCCCCACACTTCCTTCTGCTAGGGCTGCTGGTCAGGGGCACCTCACTCACCACAATCCCACAGCTTCTGGCCCAGGTGACCCCACATTGCCCAGCCAGTGGCCACAGGCACCCAAGTTGCAAACCCCCTCAGTGAGCACACAGCAGATTTTCCTTTCTTGTGATCTGGGTGAAAGTGGCTCACAAGCAGTGTGAGCAAGTTTTTCATTCAACAGTTCATACACATTTGTTTTATGACATAGATTATAGTTGGCATGATGTAATAGCACTATCCCACTTCTCCCAGTGTTTCTCTTTCCATCCATCCTCCTTGTCTTCTGGGCTTTGTCTCCTGTGGCTGATTGTTCTGAGAGGTACATTCCTCCCTGGTGGTCTCGATCACAGAGGCCTGGCAGTTGTTTGGTGGACATTGATTTGGATCAAGTGATTTCAGTTCCACGATTGAGGGGTGATTAAGAACTAGAGTCTTGCTCATGAGTTTGTTTTGGTTTCTTTTCCACTGATATTTTGTTGTACATTTTTCTCCAACTCTATTCAGACCATTCTGTTGTGACCCCTTTCTAGGGCTCAGCAGTGGTGGCTGGGCACTGTCTAATTTATCTGGCTTCAGGGTCGTGGAGACGGAAATGTACATTAGTCCTTTGCACTGATTCTTTCCATGGGTTGGTTGAGTACTTAGCAGTTTTAGCACTTTCAGGGGACAGCTGGCTTGCCTCGGGCTACACACACTTAGGGACAGATTCCAGCAGGGTTAGCAATGAGCCCTACACTTTAATCTTAATAAACCCTTTAGAGAAAGAAAAAATCATGTATTCTACTGGCTGCTCCGGAAATCAGATGATAAGAGATCATAAAACATGAGGGGATAGACTGTTTAATGTCATGGCAGATTATAGGGGGGAATATTCACAGTCTCTCAAAAACATGTTATCTTGGTCATAAGTAACAAACCTGGACAGGTGACCGCTAAAATGTCCATAGGCGTCAGCTCTGGTCTTGGATTGTCGCCATTTCCTACAAGGAAGGTTCATGTGGAGAGAATTCTTTTTACGGAGCATATCCAACTAGTAACAGCTTTTATGTCCACTAGCAGCATTTTTTCCTATTTTCACTGTTGGGCAATGTGTGTTCTGTTGAGAACGTTCAGAGTGAACAATACACCATGTCCAGTGCGAGAACTGATGACATCCAAGTGGGCAAGTATTGTCACCCTCCTTTTCTGAGTCATTCCTTTCTTGGTGACATAAACCCACTGGCCCTGAAGGTTCCTTGGTAGCCCTTCAAGTTGCTGTTGTCACTGACTCCATGGGAGAGCTCTTCCAAGTGCACGGTGCCCAAGGCCCACCTTGTGCTAACCACTAGTGCTCGCGGCACGGAGCTCTGGGGGCCTCGTGTAAGGAGTTGTGCTGCCAACCACAAAGGCAGGCTGTTAGAATCCACGGAGAAGATGTGCAGTCTCCTCCCGTGTGATTTGCAGCCGCTGATAACCCGCTGGAAGGTCAGAGATGAGTCATTCCCGACTCGACACTACACAACAACCGTGTCAGTTGCATGTCCCATGAGTGATGTGTGCTCCTCCTCTGTGTCTCCAAGGCCTGGCTGACCTGGGCTGTGGCGCAGGCCCCGTTAGTTTACTGGGCCAATGGGGCCCCCTCCGAGGGAGCTGATCACTGATGGGAGAGACAGGAATAGAAGCAGCCCATCATTGGGGGCATTTTGTCCATGAGGATGGGAACTATCATTTCTAAGAATGTATGTTTCCCCCTCCAGTGCGACCTATCCACTCTGTCACATCAAGCCCTGCCATCTCCATCCACGAGGTGGGACACACGGGAGTCACCAAAACAGAGAGGAGTGGCATCAGCAAGCTGAGGAGCGAGATGAAGCAGGTAAGATCGTGGCAGTGGCTCGGGGAGCGCTCCCCTCGGCAGGACAGAAGCCCAGGGCACTCAGGACCTTGGACCCCGCCAGGTCTCCCAGAGCTGCTTGCCTGCGCCACCACCCCACCCTCACAGGGGCCTTAGTCATTCCCTAGAGTTGCTGCTCAGCTCTCACGGTCCAGGCACTAAGCCAAGGGCTGGGACAGTGTCAAGCGAACGCCTTCCCCCTTTTTGGCCATAATTTGCAGTGAGGAATACAGTCCGATTTTCTTTCCTATTTCAAAAGCAAATCATGCCCCTCTAGAGTGGGTGCGCCAGGCTCTGGAGGGCACAGCGGGCGCGGAGCTGCCCTGTGCTGACTCCCGGGTGCCTTCTTTCTTGCAGATGACTCGGCGGTTTAGTGCTGACGAACAGGTGAATCCTTTTTGCCATGTCTGGTCTTTTGGGTGGCCTTTCACATTCTTTCTGGCCTGAGTGTGGGAGGCGCTAGGACCGGTGGCCTCTGGAGACAGGGAGCCAGACTCGAAAGCAGAGAGAAATGATGGTGCCCCCCACCCCTTAAAAACAGCATGGAACTCTGGTTTGTGAGATACTTGTAGAAAAGATGGTCCTGAGTTGGTTCAGGGTGGCTGGCTGCGCAGAGAAAAACAGAAAACTAGCCAGTTGCCCCTGAGCCTGCATCAGGTACGGGTGACCCCACGTGCATCCCAGCTGACGTTTTAGTAACTCACCTGGCCTGCCTTCAGACATGCCTCTGGTGAACTTGAACCTCCAGTAAATCTGCCCAAAGAGAAAGGAAAAGTGGCTGTTGATTACTTCAGCAGAAAGAATGCTGCTAACCTTTCCTCTTACGGGGCCCTGCGTGGCTGCTGAAAGGGTGCCAGTTCAAACTCCCCAGGGGAACAAACATGGTCGTCTAGTCATTACAGCCTAGACAGTCCTTTGGGGCACTTCTCTCACGGGTTTGCCGCGGGTCAGAGTTGATTCCCTGATCACTTGAGATGTCAATCTGGAAGGAAAGAGATAGGAACCTGTTCTTTTATGTCACCCCGTGACCCCCGCCTTCTGCCCTCCCACACTGTGGGATGAGATGTAGCGAAAATGGGTCCTATCACATCCTGGCATTGCTGGGGGTGTGATGTACTTGATTGTTCCAGTTGCTTCACGTCCCAAGTCAGGAGCCCGCTTTCAGATCCTGTCCCTCTACCAGCCACTGAGTCCTCCCCCTCCATTTCAGAGCTGCGTGCGCACAGGTTGGGGATAGAGACTCCCCACCGCCCCCCCAGCCTGTGATGGATTTAGACTCGGCCAGCCAGGAAACTGTGTTAGACCTTGTGCTGCGAGGAAAGCGATTGTTACCAGCTCCAGATTAATTGGTGCCATAGCGTTTTTCATTTCCCTTCAGCTTTTCAGAAACCCTGCTGATAGGCTTGTGCAGGCTGCCCTCTGCGTGCTGAGGGGTGGGAATCGTTTGGCCGAAGGTCATCAGCCTGAGCGTAGCCATTCATTTAACAAATGAAGGCCAGTCCTTGGCGTGGTCTTTGTAGATTTTTAGAAGAGGTTACTATTCCTCAGGACATCTGTGGAAAACTATGCCCTCGCTTGACCATTTGCCAAGTTCTCTATAGTGTTAGCTCCTGGGTGTCCTCTGGGATGGGCCGTTTGTGCAGCAGAATCTGCTGTGGGGGCTCTTCCCCTCTGGCTCCTGGGATATTTGGGTGCTTCTCCTCCCGCCACGCTCTTGGTGTCCTCACACCTAATTGAGTCCATTCTTTCTCTCTCGTAGTTCTTTTCCGTGAGCCAGGTCATGGCGAGCACCGCGCATCCCTCCAAGTCAACGGTAAACCGTGCGCCAAGATCCTGCCTCCTTGTCCTTGGTGTTGTCTTATTGCTTTCTTCTTTCTCCTGCCTCGTCTTGTCCTTGACCTCCTGTGATTTGAGCAGGGGGCAAGTGGTGTGATGCCAACAGCCTCCCCAAGCTGGAATTTTGAGAGCCTTGAATTTAGCTTTGTTTTCCATTTGGAGTCCAGCCTCTGCTCCTCAGCAACTGCTGGAAGAGTCCAGAATCTTGGGCCCTGCTTCCAGTGCCTTCTCTGGAGTCACGGTGGTGAAGGATGTCCCTTGCTGCTTGGTGCATGGCCTTCCTGGTTGGGTCCTGGGTCGGGGAGAGCACAAGCGAGTCAGGTTCTCCCCCCTCAAACTGGAGAGGATGAGAGGGCTGTGAGGGGTGAAGAGCGCAGCACAACTCTAATGGTTTGGATGTGGAGCTAGTCGTTGCCGCATTGAAATGGCAATAATGAGGTCGGTGGAGTAATCCAGCCTGCCTGCCTGCCTTTCCAAACTAAGACCTAAGGAAGAGCAACCAAGAGCCGCGAGGCGGTGCCTCCTGGACTGTGTTTATGTCGGGGCTCCCTTTTCCAACCTGCAAATGGGATGGTGTGCATTTAGAATCCCAAGGGGATGTCTCACTGGAAAGGGGTTTGCCCCAGCCCTGGCGATCTGGGAGCTTGGCTGTAAGGAGCATATGCAGGATGATGCCCTTGTTCTCAGTCTAAGGCAGGAGAAAGTGGCCTGGGCCTGCATGTGAGGCCCCTGCACAGAAGGCCGAGCCAGAGTCCTTACTGTTGTCTTTAGCCCCAGGCCCCACCTGTCCCTGCTCTGTAGTTGTGCCCTCTCATCTCTGTGGCACTCACCCTATGGGGAGGTGACTGTCCTTTCTCTGTTGGACTACAGCAGTGGGCTGGGGTCTCTCTGGGAAGAGGGCATCTCTCCTGCTTGATGGAGGGGCTCCACAGATCATGCAGCCAGGTTTTGAGCAGCAGGCTCTTGGCTGAGGCCCTTCTGGAGCCCTCACCCCTAGACAGTATAGTTCCCAAGGTTTACACATCACACCCCGGGAGTACTCACAGGCCACTCTGTCCAAGGGCCTCATATGGCTCCTTGCAGATGAGCAAGGTCGAGGGACTGGCTGAGATGAGGACTGACAGGAGGCGGGGGAAGGCTGGGGTGGGTGCCTGTTACCTTGGGGGCCAAGAGTTGTCCCCAGAAAGAAGATGTCATTAACATATGAAGGAAAAGACGACACCACTTTCTAGAAGTGAGCCAGGCCGAATCCAGGTTGGGGGGGGGGCCAGTGCAACTGTGGGGAGTGTCAGGGCCGCGTGCTGTCTTGTCTTCCAGAAGTCCAGCACCCCATCGTCACCCACAGGCACATCTTCCTCAGACTCGGGAGGCTGTCACGTCAGCTGGGGGGAGCAGCAGGGCCAGTGGCTGCGCAGGCGCAGGCTGGATGGGGCCATTAACAGAGTCCCTGTGGGCTTCTACCAGAAGGTGTGGAAGATCCTCCACAAGGTGAGCTTGCTCCTAGGGAAGGTAATCCCTTTGTGAGGTGCAGTGGTACCCCCAAATCCTGGTGTTCTGGGAGGACAGTCTTGTGCACATATTATGCCAAGCCCCCTTTGGCTTCCATCAGAGGATGCCAATAGTCCCCAGTCATGACTCCAGACAGCTCCATGCATTCTGAGTGGACATGGGACCTGTGGCACAACTGAAGAGAAAGGTCCAGCTTATGTAGGACCAAATACGATCTGTTTTGGAATACAGAAAAGTCAGGAGGTAGGCAGAGACTGGAGGCGGCCTTGGCTGGATGCACTGTCCACTCCCCTCTGCCTGGGGGCTGCTCAGACAGCAGTAGCGGCGCTCACTCTAAGCAGATGCTGGGTGCATTGGACGCTGCAGAACCTGTGCACGTGCCTGTCGCCCAGGACACCAGCGGGGACATCACCAAGTCTTATGGGGACTGCATCAGAGCTCTTCTTCCTGGCTGGCGGCTGCTGTGCAGACCAGGGCAGGATTGGTTTTCCGCCCCCTCAGTGATATTTTAGCTCATTTCCCAGTAAGAAGAGGAAGGGATGGAGCCCCCAAAGACAAAACAGCCTACCTTCCTGGAGCTGCCCGCTGGGTCCTGTGACACCAGGCTCACACACAGGTCCCCATGTCCAAGCTGAGCCTGCAGAAGCCTCCGCTTCCTGTCCTCGGCCTCTTCTCGGGGAGTTTGTAGCCACAAAAGCCAAGGGGTGCAGGTGCCTTTCTGTCCTCAGCCCTCTGGTGCCAGAGCCTTGATTTAGTACCAAACTAATTAGACCGCACAAGCTATTGCTAGAAAATCCCCCCATTCTTCCCAGGGTCCCACACGCTTCCCGAGCCGCTCCTGGCTCCCTCCCAGGGAGCTTTTATTATGAAGAGGCAGTGTCATTGAGCCACTGCAGTGGTTCAACCCCCGGGCGTGCGTGTGCACGTCTCTGCACGTGCCTGACTCCTATGTGATTTCGTGCTTATTATAGACGCCTCAAAATAGATGCCAGCAAAGGCGCAGGGCATCATTCACCAGCAGGAACCGCGAAACCCTCCCCTGATTATTGCCCGAACGGGGGCCTCTCAGCTGCCAAGTTCAGTGCCAGGCAAGCGAGCCTCCACAGAGGCCGCAGCAGCTCCTGAGGGCATTGTTCCTGTGCGATCTGAAAGCTGCCTGCTGGCTTCCCTAGAATTGTTCTATCAAAAACACAGCCTGTGGGCAGTGTGAACAAGCTGCCTAAAAATAACTGGCAGTCTGGCATGTTCCAGCCCAAGTTTCCAGGGCCGGCTGGCTTGAGGTGTGCGTATGTGCACACACATGTGCACGTACAACCTTCTGGAATATGACAGAAAAGCTGTTTTTTTTTCCCCCTGCAGTGCCACGGCCTCTCCATTGATGGCTATGTCCTCCCCGCCTCAACGACACAAGAGGTACGACGGGGAAGCCCTTCATCTTCGATGTCCTCTTTCACAGGCTTGAGACAGGCAGGCCATGGGGTCCTCACATTTTGCCAAGCTTCTTCATGTTGGTCAGTTTCTACTTGCCCTCTGAGACAGCAGTTCTTAGCCACAGCACAGACCCCGTCAAGCCACAACAAGAATAATTATATCTCAGGCTAGACCCCTTCTGGTCTGCTGAAAACAGCTGCTTTCCTTGACTTGTTTGCCCCTAATTATCCTTCTCCAAACAGATAGATGCTTGTTTTTACCATACTATATGCCACCAAAATAGATCATCTTTGCCCCTGTGACATCCTAGTCAAGTGAGCTGGATGAGAAAATGGAACCACGGGTCCCAGGGGAGAGCTCTGTGTCTCGAACCCCTAGGAGTCTTGTTGGTATAATTGAAAAGGACCACCCCCTCCCCCAACGAAAGAGGTGGTATTGAGCTGAGCCCTTGGTGAGGGCTGTGTCTGTGCTCACCTAACTCCCGTCTGTCCACACTGGTCCCTTTGGCAGATGACCCCACATGAGATCAAGTTCGCTGTCCACGTGGAGTCGGTGCTGAACCGTGTGCCTCAGCCCGAGTACCGACAGCTGCTGGTGGAAGCAATCCTGGTGCTGACATTGCTCTCAGACACGGAGACGAACAGCCTAGGGGGCATCATCCATGTGGACCAGATCGTGCAGGCGGCCAACCAGCTGTTCCTGCAGGACCAGGTGAGTGCCATGCAGCGGAAAGGTCTCCTGCAAGTGTACCCTGTATCTGGTAGGAAAGAAGAGGCTCAGTCAAGAAAAATGTCACAGGAAGTGCTAAAACCTTGGCCATTTGCTCATGGAAAGGGGCAAGGCCTGCCACCCCATAGGTTTTACCCTAAAAACCACCACTTTCAACGGCCCTGGGTGAATCCTCACCCATAGTCCCTTTCTCAAGTCATGTCCTTCTGCTCTTTCCTGCTGCAGATGGCCATGGGCACCCTGGACAACCTGGAGCAAGACCAAGCCACTGGGATTTGTCACTACTTTTACGACAGTGCCCCCAGTGGGGCCTATGGCACCATGACCTACTTAACAAAAGCAGTAGCCTCCAGTTTGCAGGAGTTGCTGCCCAGCACCGGCTGCCATGTGCAGTAGACACTCCGCTGGCTGCAGGCCTGCCTTTGGAACCTGTTACTTAACCCCTAACATCGTTGAGAACTTCCCTTCTGCACCCTGTGCACCCCCAGTTTCGCTGGAGCCATGTCACAGCATCTGGTCTCGGGGACTCTGTGGAAGAAATGACTGACTCTTGAGTGCAGAGTTAACTGAGAAGGCAGCTTAAATTGGCTCACAGAGCGTTCCAGAAATAGGTTCGAGGAGCTAGTGACACATCATAAAGATGAAAAGATCCTTCTAGCAACAGCAGCTAGACAAGTATCTTGATAAGGAGACTATCTTAACAGGATGCGGGGTGTCTGGACCAAACTGTTTACCAAATAGAGCGGTTCTTTCTGTGGAATCCTGGTCCCACTGTGCCTTGCGTTCTGTTGCCTCTTGTTTGGTTTATCGGCCTTGCTGCCTTCACGTCCTAGAACTCCTTAGGTGGTTGCCCTCAGATTTGGCTGACAGCATTTAAGGAGTTTCTCTTGGCAGCCCATGAATTAGGGGTTTCTCCTGTCATGTATATGAAGGTGGAGATGCACATCTTGTTTTAAGATTGGCGTTGGCCAGAGTTTCCTCCCGAGAGGCATTGGCTTCGCTGAGGGTCCGGACCCATGAAGTGCTGCTGCCCACAAGCCCAGAGGGCCAGCGCGGCAGGCGAGTCGATACTTCGCCTGCGCTCTGGGTGAAGCCAGCACATAAGTCATCAGATGCCATGAAAATTAGTGGTGTGTTCCCACAGAAACAATGCTTCCCGGCTATAAATAGAGCCGTGCCACCGAAGCGCTTTCCTCTCCAGGCTCAGAGGCAGAAATGGGTGGACGCCCTGATTGCAGGGGACCCGGGGCACAAGAGGGCCTTGCAAAGCCAAGCCCTGGTGAATGGACTTCCTCTCCCGGCACTGTCTTCCCTTGGCAGAGAAGGAAAAGAACAAGCAGGAAATAACTGTTCACCTCTCAGTGAGTCCTAAAAGGCAGACTGAGCCTCATGGCCAGAGGCAGAGAGCTGCCCGGTCACGACCTTGGAGGTAGAGACGTGGCTGTTGGCCCATGTCCTCATCACTTGACGTGGAGGTAGAGAAGAGGAGGCTCTTTGAGAGGACAGGGCTGTGCCACTGCTCCAAGTCAGGATGCCACCCCGAGGGTCACATCTAGAGAGGTGTGCAAGTGACAAGTGCCACCTTCAGTCTAAGCCACACTGCCCTTGGGAGAACTGCTACTGGGGTGACTCCGTCCGTGTCTGTGGGGTGTGCACACGGCTCCACACCCCTTTTGCCTTGTGCCTTTTCCAAACCACAGGATCTCCCTTGCAGAGAGTTAGGCTTGCTTCTCTCCCTTCCCTCACCCTTGTGTGTCTTCCTGTTGGTGTTGGTACATAAAACCTTTCTCCTCACATTACTAGAGTCTGCCTTCCTTACTGGATCTGGGACTCTCTCAGCTGTGAGCACACAAAGACAAATGAGAGGGACAGGGGCCTCCTCACCGTCACGGAGGCTGCGGGGGAAGTATAGGGGGCTTAGTAGAGGGGCCCCTAGATTGCTCCCCTCAATCTTCCCCTTATTCTTGTCCAGAGGGGTGAAGGTCCTCCAACGGTGGGTGGCCCCAGAAAGAGAGCACCTTCCCTCTTGGGGTCAAAGATCATAAGCACCCTGCTTCCCTAGAGGCATTTTCTTGGCCTTTTTTTTTTTCTGCTGTCCTGAACATAAGTCACAGCACCCCGCGACAGACTCCCTGAAGGGAATTTCAGACAGTGTGAGACGGGCCCCGATTGTGGAGGCTTCCTGGGAGGAAAAAAATCAAGGAGAGGTACCAGCCCCCCGTATGAGCCAGGTGTTCACTACAAACAGTCACCTGCCTGCGGATGACGTGCAGGACAGATGCGGAAGTTGGGGCCTCCCCATGCTGGGAAGCAGCTGGGGGAGAAGCCATAATAAGCCGTTCTGAGCCTTCAAGGCTCTCCTTTGAAACCTCTTTAAAACGAAACCCTGAAATAGTATTGCATTTCTCCAGGCCACGAGCTTCAAAGACAGCCAGTGTTCCCAGGCCTGATCCCTTCTGTGAGCGGATGAGGGGCTGGAGGAGGCTGCCAGGGTGTCCGCTCCCCCACCCCCCAGCCTTGGAGAAGCTGTTGTTGACCTTGGCTGGTGCTGAGGGGCTAGAGTGTTCTCTGAGCAGAAGCCCGCTGAGCCAGGAGCAGACATGCCCTGTACCAATTCCATAGCCAAGGAGCTGGCCACCCACCTCCTTGGGCCTCAGTTTGCACATGTGTAAGAAGATAAAGAATCCATGACCCACCTGCCTGGGGGCTGAGGAGGGGCACGTTCTTGCTCATCTAATTCTCAGTGCCATCAAGTCAAGACCGACTCATAACTGACCCTCTACCGGGTTTTCAGAGGCTAAAAACGAACAGGAGTCTGCCCCTCTTTCTCCAGTGGAGCAACTCATGGATCCAACTGTGTGCTTTCCGGTTAACAGTACAACTCATTACGCCCTAGGCCACCAAAGCTGTTCGTTCTTGTTAGGTCCTGTCAAGTCAAATCTAACAGTGACTCTGCAAGCAACTGATCTAGGCCCTGTCCTGTGCCGGCCTCCTCATCTGATGCACTCGAGCTCATTGCGGCAGTCACTGTGTTAACCCACCTGGTTGAGGGGCTCTCTCCTTAGAAAACCAGATCTGCTTCGCAACACCCCCAGGGCCAGGTGATCCAAGAGGTGCTGTCCCGCTCTGTGTCTCCCAGGGTGAGCCTCAGTCAGGAGGTCACGCGTGCACTGCCTGGGTGGAAGAGAAGAAAAGGAGAAGAAATTAGATGCCAGAAGGTTTGCCAGTTTACTGCTGCTATTTCATTCTAGTCTAGCAGACTGGGGTGTGGCCTCCCTCGTCGGTGACAGTGGCGCCATCTCTGTCGTGTTGACGTGCACTGCTCTCATCCGTCCGGCTTTGTCGTTGGGGGGGGGCACAGCAACCTCTCGTCCCTGCCCTTGGTGCTGTTCTTTCGAGGTGACTCTGAGCTCTCAAAGGCCCTGTCCTCTGGTCTGGCATCTCTGCAGGGTCTGAGGACCATGTTTCCAGAAGGCCCCAGTTCTCCAGGAACCTGGGGAGACCCGAAGCCTCTCAGCAAGCTCTCAAGCCCCAAGTTCCCAGGCTCAGTCTCCCAATGGGGAGGCTTAAGAGGTGTACCAGCAAGGGAGACTCCTCAACAGCCATGTTCAGGGTCGGGTTGGGGGCAAGAATCATCGAGCTGCCTTGCGGTGGCTCCACTGTGCTGCCAGCCAGACTCGGCAGGGAGTGTTATCTGTGCACCTAGGAGTAATGGGAAGGCCCTCAAAGGAAAGGTAGCAGCTGTGGCTTGGGCCAACCCCAAACCCTTGTAGCCCTCAACTGTGGAACAGCTGCTGCGCGCTCTGAAGAGTCACCCCCACAGGACCAACCTGCATCAGCCCTGAGCCCAGTGATGCCGCTGCCGGTCAATGGGCCACTCATTTTTTTTCCTTTGCAAGATCTTCAGGTTGCAAGCCCAGGATAGACTCCCTGTCCCGGGTCCTAATCCCTGACGGCCCTGGTGTCTCCTTTGCTGCGTGTCAGAGTTCTTACAGGCAACTCACAGGAGCCAGGACCATGGGGCTAAGTAGAATCCCAGCTGTGGAAGAAGACAGGTAAGTCATGGGATCAGCGGCAGAGCCAGAAACCCAGCTTTGGGGGGATCCAAATCACTCCCCAGTCTTGGGGGAAACACGGGACACCCCACTAAGTGGCAGGTTACCCAGTAAGCGCAGGCCTTCTGTGTTTTGATGATTGGTATACTTTTGCTTGCTTATGAATCTGTAGAAGTATTCACTACTGAGTAAGCAAACACAAGTAAGCCAGGCTGCCTTAGCTTACAGGGGCTCCCCCCTCCTCCAGAAGCAGGAAGTCACCGTCCCTGGCTGTACCCACAGGGGCAGGTGTGTTGTGGTAGCGTGGATGACTGTACGCTGGGAGAAGCAACACCCGAGAGTTTTCCAGAGCAGAGGTGGGCTCAGCACTGGGTCCTCCAGATATAGGAAGGAGGTTTAGGCAGCCTCCAGAGTTAGTGTTCATTACAGCTGTGGCCCTTGGCTTTTGTCCCTTGGTTTAGAAAAGGCCTGAGTCACCTTGCCTGCCCCAGGAAGTGACCTCAGAGCCATGTCCTTGACCCTTCAGGAGAGAGTGCAGACAGAAAGAGACACTCAGGTGTATGACATTAGTCCCACAGCCCCTCCAAGCTCAGGGTCCAGGGGATATATTAGCGAGCCACAGTGACAGGGCCTGGTGGGGGGGCACCATACTGGCCCCTTTTCCTGCTTAGCTTCCCTAGAATGGAAGTGAGAATCCCAGCTGGCTGAACTGTCCTCAGCCCGGTCCTGTGAGCCTTTTCAGGACCTGAGTGACAGCCCATCTGGGACACGATGCAAGTGATTGTCACATCTTTCCTTCGACGTCTTGAACCAGCTGGGAGATTTAAAAATAAAGAAGAGGAACAGATTCACGGTCTAAGCCTCTCTCCTGACAGTGTGAATAATTGTGCCCAGCTGTCACCAGGGACTGGTCCCTGACAGGCCTCAATGTCAGTCTCCTCAGCTTGGGCGAGGCACAGCCATGCAGACCGACAGACCCCCATGGCCTCCTCCTTTCCCTCGATAACCTAGAGGACAGAGGTTCTGTAGCCTCAGGGCCCCACCCCACAAGGGAGTGCAGCAGCTCTTTGTGCCAAAAGCAAAGCCCATGTGCTTAGTGGACCCCTGCAGCTTTTCAGCTTGAACCTCACATGACAGGTGTCTGGGGTCCCTAAGTCAAGTGTTCTAGAACCCTGACTGACCGACCTCCCCTCCCCCAGCAATAGGGCTCAGTTCACTGCTCTGGGTACACACTCAGGAGCACATGACCCCCAGATTGGGAAAATGACAACACAAAAGAAGCAAAGCCCAGTGAGTGAAAGGCCAGTTACATGTCAGTGCAGGGGAAGAGGCCACGCCAGC